CTCTACTACAAGCGTGATTTCAGAATTATTATTTTTCTAAAAAAAACATTATTCAGTGTTTTGCACTGTGACTTGTACACCATTATTAATCATGATAGCACTAGATGTACTCCGGTCTAAGGTATTACACATATAGTGGCTGAAGTGTTACAGCATGCACTGCTGAATATTGGTTGGTTGGTTGGTTTGTTGTTTTAACGCCGCACTCAGCAATATTCCAGCTATATGATGGCGGTCTGTAAAAATAATCAAGTCTGGACCAGACAATCCAGTGATTGATATCATGAGCATCGATCCACGCAATTGGAATCGATGACATGCATTAACCAAGTCTGCGAGCCTGACCACCCGACCATGGTGCAATGAATGTGACATGTCCACTTGTTTGTCCTACCTAATAACCGAAGATGACAATGTTATAATATATATATATATAGTAAACTACGTTTATAACGAAAACGTTATAACAAACTGATCGATATAACAAACTTAGTTTTTAGTCCAGGTCATATATGCTGTATATATGCATATAATGAACTACGGTTATTACCAACAAAAATTAGTGGTCCCTTTGAGGTCATTATGACCGTAGTTTACTGTACTTCATTGTAAATCCCCACCCAAATATCCTTGACATCTACAACCAAGGGGACTCCAGGTAAAAATAGGTCCCCAGCAACCTATGTGTGTCTAAATGGACAGTGTGGTCAGGCTTGGTGATTTTGTTGATTATAACCGTAGTTGACTGTATTTCAAATGACGCAAGTATGTTGTTGCTTGTGCTAGTGTCCTAAATAAGAGGGGGTCCTAGGGTCCTAGGGTCCTGGGGTCCTAGGGTCCTTGGGTCCTTAGGGTCTTCCTCTGTGGTACTTGAATCGAGGGATCCCTAAACCTTTAACTTTTAACATTAGGGTAACGACAAGGACCCTAAAAATTAACTTTCATGCATAATATTGAAAACTAAATAGTGCATAAACTTGTAAATAAACAATGTGGATATGCTTTTCTGAGAAGGTTACAGAAAACCTTGCATCATTAACCAGCATATTCAAAGAAAACATGTAAATCATATGCATGAAGACAGGTCAGAGGTCAGACAGTTCTCTTCTGATTGGTCATACCATGTAATACCATGTGGTCCCTGGCAAGTATAATAACTGGACTGGAGCATTGTGGGTTACACCAGTCGCGCAACAAGGTAGTGTTCCCATTAACAACCATACAAGCAACAAGCAACAAATCCCACAACACCATGAGTGAGTGAGTGAGTGAGTGAGTTTGGTTTTACGCCGCTTTTAGCAATATTCCAGCAATATCACGGCGGGGGACACCATAAATGGGCTTCACACATTGTAGCCATGTTGGGAATCGAACCCAGATCTTCGGCATGATGAGCCAGTGCTTTAACCACTAGGCTACCCAACAGCCCCCTCAAATCTCCAGAAATGACGTCATGATAGAACAATTTTTTACTGTTAAATAAATCATGCTTCGTTCTTTATTGTTCTTAGTGATTTATCACATAGCTATCTCATACAAGTGTATAAACCAACGCATCACCACAGTGTATAAACATATTTATAAACAAAGTAGAAAACGCTCTCCATGTAAAAGACTACAGAAACCCTTGTATTCTGGCTCCAGCCAGAGAAAAACCAGCAAGTGCTCAAACCAAGGAGCCATCAGATAACAGTAACATTTCTCATGCGACATATGCAATAGCCTTGCAGTTTTTTGCTCTACCCACAGCTTCAATGCCAGACAATGGTACACACGTCCACACAAAGTTCATGCACAGAGTAGGCTGGCCTGACTTTCCTTGAGTAAGAAACGGCCATATGTATTCACAGGTGATGCAGAAACATAGTGCATACAAACTCAATCTCATTAAAATCAGATCTTAGTTCTCGCTACCGCTAAACAAGTTCTGAGGACATCCTATTAGGGGTCACGTCAGAACGACCTTTCATCCGACCAATCAGAACGTCGCTTACCAGATCATGAAAGTGACAGTCAGAATGTGATTTCTAATCATGCAGCCTTGAAAACTTTAAAACTGGGTATTCTGAACGATAGTTACGGGCTTAACGACTGAATCTATACAATCTAGACCATACATTTCAATTCAAGAATGTTTTTTTGTTCAGGTTTCAAATTTTTAAGCGAGATTTGTCAAAATATGTTTCGAAGCCAATTTGAAATTAGTGCCGTAAAGCATGAGAAAGCTGCCTTCTGATTGGCTAATGTCGACTTCTTCTCAGTAATTCCATTGGTTGGTCAGAGTTCGCAAAATGTCGGTCTGACGTGACCAGTAATGGGATGTCCTCAGATCTTTGGTTAGCGGCAGCGAGAACGAAGATCTGATTTTAATGAGATTGTATACAAGCTGTGAGGTATTGACGATGGTATAGCCCTGGCTGACTACTGCCAAGCAGGTGTTACACAAGGCCAATATGAAAAATACATCACACACGTGACCTTTACAACACAAAATAAAAAAATCTTTACATTTTGAACGGTAACAGTCACAACTGCTCTCCAAACAACATTGTGTAAACCTTAAACATTGGCTATGGATTTGGTGCATAGTATGTTGATAAAGTAGCCCAGTGCTGTCTACCAAGGCTGCAAATTATGACAAGAATATAAAGAAGGTATACTTCAAGATATGACTGTGACATAGATATGTCTGATGAACAAGGGGTGTGGCAGTTATCATTGATTTGTGCATAATAGATTCTGATATAGCCTTGAATTGTGAATAATTTCCCTAAATGATTTTCAAATTATATCTCACAAGAAAGTTTCAGTGAATGCAAGAAGAAAGAGGTACAAACTAATACTCAAATGATGTTAGTTTCAGTGAAAATAGCAATTTTGAATACAATTTCATGTGTCTCATGTCCTCCATATTTTGTCAAACATGGATATACTCTATAGATAATTCTCAAGACAAGTCGTTGAACACAATCACACAACTACATCACATTGTTTGATAGGCATTTCTTAGAAGTTGACAGATAACAAAGTAGATAAAAATATGGATAACAACTGTAAAATAAAGCTGTTATTCACAATTGTACATCATAGTTACAATACTAGTTTACCAAAGTGAGTGATCCATAATTACAGCCATGTTGTGGGTCTACATATTTCGTCATGGTCGTGTGTGCATCTGTCCCAGTAAACTAGTATCTTGAACACAGCAGAATGAACAGAAACCCACGAACTACACTTGTAAAAAAACATGTATAATATCATAGATACCATCTTAAACATGTTTATAGCTTTTGACAGAATTCAAGATATATAACATGAGGTGATTACCCCAAGGCAAACCTGAACCAAGGCTACCATCTAAAAACTACCAACACAATTCAGCAGAATGCACTCTTGACGCATATGCTCAGGTAAAACATGATTCCTGTAATTTAGACACATGGAAGACCATATGGACGGATCAGCTCTCCATTTAATTTAAAATAAATTATTTGAAGTGTTAATCACAATATGTGATGATATATGCAATTGAAAGAGATCAGGTGAAGATACATGTGAGTGTACAGTAACTCTCGTATCCTTCATTGTTGAAACCCATCAGTGAAGCCTAATACACAGGCGTGGCAACACACATACACTAGAGGGGCCGGACAAACAGTGATCAGATCCATATATTCCCACACAATGGCATCCACTCATTGGCTATTCATAAAATCATGTTTGTTGTTTATTGCCGCACTCAGCAATATTATAACCATGTGTGTGTGTGTGTGTGTGTGTGTGTGTGTGTGTGCGTGTGCGTGCGTGCGTGCGTGCGCATGCGCGTGAGTGAGTGAGTGAGTGAGTGAGTGAGTGAGAGAGTGAGTTGGGTTTAACGCTTTTAACATTATTCCAGTTATATCACAGCGTGTGAGCTTAATGTGGGAGGAAAGCCCGAAGTGATGCTGGTCTCAGACCTTCATCACTTTGGTGAAACTCATAAGCAAGGGATTGGTGCTGACAAACCTTGAATGAGTGAATGAGTGAGTTGGATTTATCACCGCTTTTAACATTATTCCAGTTATATCACGGCGTGTCAGCTTAATGTGGGAGGAAAGCCCCAAGTGATGCAGGTCTAAGACGTTTACCACTTCGGTAAACCCACGGGCACGGGTATGGTGTTGATAAACCTAGAAACATAATCGGGGCGAACCGGGATTCGAACCCACAATCATAGGTTTCGGGCATGCCAAAGGGACGCAACTCTGCACAGCGAATTGCGGCGCCTTAGACGACTGGGCCACCTGTGCCCCCGACAAACCTTGAAACATAATCAGGGTGAATGGGGATTGAAACCCATAATCAATGGTTTCTGGTGTGTTCAACGAACACAACTCTGCACTGCTTATTGCAATACCTTAGCTGACTGGACCAGCCGTGCCTCCACAACCATATGATGGCAGCCTGTAAACAGTCGAGCCTGGACCAGATGATCCAGTGATTGATATTATGAGCAACAGTCCTCACCATCAGGGAATGATGAAACACCATCAGCCAAGTCACTGAGCCAGGCACCTGTTTAATCAAGTCGCCTTATGCAATCAACATAAGTTGCTGGGGACCTATTTTAACTCAGAATTCATAAGGGTCCATTCATAATTTGTATCCAGTACTTTGTTATATTAACAGAGTAACACTAATTGCAATCACTCATACTAACAACATAACAAAGATTCAACTGTAAACGCCAATGTTCAAGCAGTATTTGTGTTTTGTTTACATTTCATTAAGAGCTAGTTAATAGGATGTTGGCCTCAACAAATTGATGAGATATTTTGGTCCCAAGTGGGTAGCTAAAGAAGATTTTTTTAAATTTTGAAGTGAAATATTTTAAAAAAATCAAATCAAAAGCTATTATTTTCTTCCCTTGTTTTCAATTGGTTCCAAGCAACTAATGCTGGTCACAAGAGGCAAAAACATGGATCGGGTGGTCAGGCTCAGTGACTTGGTTGATAGCATGCCATTGTACCCTGACAGTGTGACTCATTGCAGGATTGTCTGGTCCAGATTAAATTACTGGTATATACAGGCCATCCTCAAATAGCTGGAATATTCCTGAGTGCGACGTTAAACAACAAACAAACAAACATTCATACACCTCGTCTGAGAGCATGATGTACATTTTATATGCCGGGCTGGTCTACTTGCCCACACACTACGGGTATACTGCCACTCCACTATGTTTTACTATGTGTCCATGTGTAGCCCAGACCCAACCCACATGGTGCATTATACAATGACTATTGGCAGTATGAGATACAGATGCATAAAACAAGCACACTTTACACAATCACTGGCACTATATGTTAATGAAGGCCAGGGTTTTTTAATGCTTTGGTTACATTGTTGACAACACTTGACAATGTTGTACTCGATATTGTGGTGGTGGTGGTGGTGGACAAGACTGATGATGTTGCGTTGGCCACTGTTGTTGTCAGTGTTGATATTGTCAGGGCTGGCCTCTCGGTACTTTCATTGCTATACAATCTATTTATAGCATCAATGGTCCCAATTAAAGTCCTGAAACAAATCATAAGAAATATTTCAATACAACAAACAGATAACCAAAAGATCTCATCACATGGATCAGATCATGTAGATAACAAGAGAGGTAGTCTCTTATATTAGCCACTAGTCCAAAGCCCGAATCTAGTAATTTATCAAATATAAGTCAATATATTAACACTAACATCCACAGAAAAGATATCAAGTGAAAAGTTCAGGACATGGTGGTGTCAGTACCAGACAGACCATCAAAGATGTACAAAGGACTTACCCGATGACGCCAATTGCAATGAGTGACCAGTCCGTCACTTTCTGAGACAATGACAGAGATCTGAAATACAAGCATGATTGAAGGTGACAAGCAATATCACAGATATTGAGTGAGTGAGCTTGGTATTTTGCTGGCTTGAACAGTAGTCAGGTCAGCTTTATGTGGGAGATAAGTAAGGCTGCAACTTTGTCCTGACACAATACACATTGTGCACATCTTGGCAGTAAGTTTGTGATACCATGGATACCACATAAGACACAGAAAAAAAACAATGTTATATATAACATTGCTTAACATAGAATAACGATGCACTGAAAATGCTGAGGTGGAAGATGTTGGCCAGTAAGAGAGATGTGGTATTACTTAGTGGCTGGACCAGTGAAGGGTTAGAATAGGTCTTCAGCAACCCGTGCTTGTCTTAACAGGCGGCTATGCTTGTCGCAATAGGCGACTAATGGGATCTGGTGGTTAGGTTTGACTTGGTTGATGCATGTCATTGTGACCCGTGCATATCCGGTGTAGAATAGGTCTTCAGCGACCCATGCTTGCCGTAAAAGGTGACTATGCTTGTCATAAGAGGCGACTAACGGGATCAGGTGGTCAGGCTAGCTGACTTGGTTGATGCATGTCATCGTATCCCAATTGTGTGGATCAATGCTTATGTTATCAATCACTGGAATGTCTGGACATCAATTAATCCCAATTGCGTAGATGGATGCTCATGATATCAATCAGTGGATTGCCTGGTCCTGACTTGAATATTTACAGACAGCCATCAAATAGCTGGAATATTGAGTATGATGTTAAACAACAAACAACCAACTTACTGGCTGAATATCCTGAGGTGGAAGATGCCGGGGAGGATGAAGGCCAGGAGGGTACAGCAGCTCGCGCCCACCAGCGCCATCAGGTTAGCGAAGTTGGGAATCATCAAGACCACAACACCCGTACACAGTACCATACATGCCCGCAGGATGTTCTGAAAGTACAGGGGGTACAATAAATTTGAGGATCCCATGGGCATTTCACTGAACATCTCCAATAACAATCAGGCCCAATATGCAGGATATAAGCAGTTCTCATGTGGCATTCTAGCAGCAGTATAGATGTGAGCTTAAAATCGGGTTTAACATTTTGTTCAAAATTATCATACTAATATTGCAGCGTGTATGCACATATGTGCATGTGGTTTCATTGTGCTAGCCCACTGAGATATCATACCACAGTTAAACACGGATACCCCACTCAGACACAGTATACTGATTCTGAATGAGGCAGTCCTTGTTTTTCCCCTCAATGCCAAGCGCCAGGGAGGGTAACAAGTACCATCTTTTAAAGCCTTTTGGTATGATGCGGCCGGGGATTGAACCACTGGTCTTCCACACTCCGGGCAGACTAGACCACAGAGGTGGTACACTAGGCCACGGAGGCGGCCACTAGACCACGGAGGCAGTCCCACTAGATCAAGGAGGCAGTCGACTAGACCATGGAGGTGGTCCACTAGACCTTGGAGGTGGTCCCACTAGACCAAGGAGGCAGTTGACTAGACCACAGATGCGGTACACTAGGCCACGGAGGCGGCCACTAGACCACGGAGGCAGTCCCACTAGACCAAGGAGGCAGTCGAGAAGACCATGGAGGTGGTCCACTAGACCTTGGAGGTGGTCAACTAGACCTTGGAGGTGGTCCACGAGACCTTGGAGGCGGTACACTAGACCTTGGAGGCGGTCAACTAGACCTTGGAGGTGGTCAACTAGACCTTGGAGGTGGTCAACTAGACCTTGGAGGTGGTCCACTAGACCTTGGAGGCGGTACACTAGACCTTGGAGGCGGTACACAGGCCACAGCTGTGGGCAAGCAAATCAATGCAACTATCAAACTCCTTCAGCTTAACATTGACATTTGACTATTATAGCACTACAGTCACTTTGTTATACAGGACCCTGGTCATGTGCCTCTATTCAGCAGCCAGTTTATGGTTAAAAGGCTACGCCACCGCCCCTAAGAAGCAGGGCATGACAACCTGCATGGGGAACTCACCCCTTTCAAATAGTTCTTATCTGCATCTGTGATTGTGTATCGCTCTAAGATCTTCATCACCGGAAACATCATCACTGCAACACACAACACAACAACAAGTCAGATCTCTAAAGGAGTAGAAGATGTCAGACACAGAAACGCTTATGATGATACCTTCCCAATGTGTCGACAGTGACATTGTGCCTATACTACTGTCTGATTCTCAGTCATATGTTGTACTGGTTTTCAATTGTCATGCATTGTTATGAGAGCAAATATATTGTAATCAACATCACTCTCTGAATCTCTACTGTAGGAAGTTGCTGGCTGTAGACTAGATATTATCATGATTATCTACAACTGGATCAAGGAAAAGGATTACTTTCCACAAAGGCTACTATCAACAAGAGTTACTTTCAATAAGGGCTACTGTCAAGGCTACTTTCTACATGGGCTAGTATCCAAAGGGGAGGATTTCTGCAAGGGCTAGTTTCCACCATGGATACTACCCACCAGGGCTAGCTTCCTCAAAGGCTACTACCCACCAGGGCTACTTTCCCCCAAAGGCTACTACCCACCAGGGCTAGTTTCCCCAAAGGCTACTATCCACCAGGGCTACTTTCCTCAAAGGCTACTACCCACCAGGGTAACTTCCCCCAAAGGCTACTACCCACCAGGGCTACTTTCCCCAAAGGCTACTATGCACCAGGGCTATTTTCCCCAAAGGCTACTATCCACAAGGGCTACTTTCCCACAAGGGCTACTTTCCCACAAGGGCTACTTTCCCCAAAGGCAACTATCAACCTGGGTTACTTTCTCCAAAGGCTACTATGCACAAGAGCTACTATTCACCAGGGCTACATTCCCCAAAGGCTTCTACCTACAAGGATTACTTTCCCCAAAGGCTACCATCCACCAGGGACCCGTGAAAGGCGACTATGCTTGTCATAAGAGGCTACTAACGGGATCGGGTGGTCAGACTTGCTGACTTGGTTGATGCATGTCATCGTTTCCCAATTGCGTGGATCGATGCTCATGATATCAATCACTGGATTGTCTGGTGCAGACTCCATTATTTACAGACCACCGTCGTATAGCTGGAATATTGCTGAGTGCGGTGTTAAACAACAAAGAAAGAAAAGCTATCCACCAGGGCTACTTTTCCCAAAGGCTACTTTCCACAAGAGTTACTTTCCCCAAAGGCTACTATCCTCTACTTTCCCCAAAGGCTACTATCGTCTACTTTCCCCAAAGGTTACTTTCTACATGGTCGTTTTTCCACAGGGCTACTTTCCACAGGGGCAACTATCCACAGGGGCTACCTTCTTCATTCTATGTTGCTACAGTCCAGGGCTACTATTAATAGGGGCCAGCATCTACTAGGGCTGTTATCAACAAGGGCCACTATCCATCATGACTACAACTTACTCTGACTACTGTATGCCGTGGCTGAAGGTCTACTCACCAGGATATGTACAGTACAAGGCTATACAGAGGAAGGACTTGACTATCATACTGAAGTCTATAGATTGACCTGAAACACAAATCACACATCTCAACACCATGACAACATCACAATCAATATCAAAATGATGTCACAGCAACATGTGCATGCTAGTGATATATTTTATTCAGCATCTGATTGATTATTTCAGGTGTGGTGAGGTGACAAGGGGTTTAACGTCATGTTCAAGATTATTGCACTAATATAACGGTGTGCATGCACATGTGAGTGTGTGTGTGTGTGTGTGTGTGTGTGAGTGTGTTTGTGTGGCTGCTTGTACTAGTCTGGACAAATGCCGATTTTATAGTGCTAGCCCACTGAGATACCATGCCGCAGTTTAACATGGATACCCCACTAAGACACAGTATACTGACCAGTCCTTGTATTAGCCCCTTAATGCCGAGCGCCAGACAGAGAAACAACAAGTACCATCTTTTGACTCTTTTGACAAGGTGTGGCTGAGAATCGAACCCCCGACCTTCTGCTCTCCGGGCAGACAATCTACCACTAGACCACGGCGGCAGTGATCATTACATAGCATAAACACATTATCATGGAAGCATATGTACTCCCTGTCATATCAGTCTTACCTTTAGGTAAATTCAGAGTTATTATCTGATTCGTCTCTGGTCCAAATGACTGCAACATAAGAAGATAGTAAGTTACTGAAGCTCACTGCACATTTAGGACAGTAGGTAATGTGGAATGGGGTTTAGAGTTAAAGATCCTATCATCTAGTGGGTGGTTTAATCAGTGTCTAGAATACAAGCGTCACACGGTAAGATGTATAGTCTCTGCATATTGTATTGGCCATTGTCGTTGGTGAGGTAAGATGAAATGAGGTTTAACATTGGTCCAAGATTATTGCACTTATATAGCAACGTGCATGCATGCATGCGTTTGGCTGCTTGTACTAGCCCAGACTGATGCCAATTTATAGTGCTAGCACACTGAGGTACCATGCCGTAATTTTAACATGAATACCCCACTAAGAGACGACCAGTTCTTGTTTTAGCCTCTTAATGCTGAGCACCAGACAGAGTAACAACAAGTACGTGCATGCACGTGTGTGTATGGCTGCTTGTTCTAGTCCGGACTATTGCCAATTTTATAGTGCTAGCAAGCTGAGATACTTGAATACCCCACTCAGACACAGTATACTGATTCCAAGCTGACCAGTCCTTGTTTTAGACTCTTAATGCCGAGCACAGGACAGGGCAACAACAAGTACCATCTTTTAACGTCTTTTGGTATGACAGGGCTGTGGATCGAACCACAGACCTTCCACTTCTGGGCAGACGCTCTATCCATGGAAGCTGTCCGATGAGTGAGTGAGTCGGTCAGATTTTACACCGTTTCTAGCAATACCCCAGACACTAAAACTGTCTTTACACGTTACACCCAGAGTAGATGACCTCGACCTTCAGTGGACAAGTCAATACTACAAGGCAGCCGCCTTCCGGAGCCATAAGACTATGTCACTGACATACTGTAATGAACACTATCTACAAAGCACAGGGGCAATAGGATATTAGAACAAGCACCATTGATGAATCAGAATTGTAGGAAAAGACTGATTGAGTATGGTTTTACGCCGCTTTTAGCAATATTCCAGCAATATCACGGCGGGGGCACCAGAAATGGGCTTCACATATTGTACCCATGTCGGGAATCGAACCCAGGTCTTCGGCATGACCAGCGAACACTTTAACCACTAGGCTACCCGACCGCCCTTGTAGGAAAAGAGAACATAACTCACCAAATACCCACACGCTCCAAATGATATATATAGTGTGGTTACAATACACATCGTTGTTATAAAAAATCTGAAAAGAAAAATTGCAATGCAAGTGCAAGAAATGACTGGATAACATTTATTATATACAAGTATCAAACATTTATGACGGTCTGGTAATTTTTGTTTGTTTGTTTGTTTGTTGGTTGTTTAACACCACAGGAAAATTGCTCTGTAATACATCCCTGGAAGGTTGCTTACTTTCTAAATTTATGCCGGACTTCAACTGCTAATGACGACTCCAGGGATAGAATCATGCCAGCACCCTGCAAAAAACACAGAAACAGTTGGTGAGCAAGGGAGTGAGTGAGTGAGTATGGTTTTATGCCGCTTTTAGCAATATTCCAGCAATATCACGGCGGGGGGACACCAGAAATGGGCTTCACACATTGTACCCATGTCGGGAATCGAACCCGGGTCTTCAGCGTGACGAGCGAACGCTTTAACCACTAGGCTACCCGACCGCCCCCGGTGAGCAAGGGAATGGAATACGTGAGTGAGTAAATGTTGTTTAATGCTGCACACAGCAATATTCAACCTGTATACCTCGTAACAGTAGATCACTATGAAGGGGGAAAAGACATACCTCGTAACAGTAGTTCACTATGGTGGTGAAAAAGACTTACCGTATTTGACGTAATAAGTGCCCCGCTCTAATAAGCGACCAGGGCGATATTTGCTAATATATTGGCTGGTGAACAATCCCAATTAGCACCCCTTCCAATTGATCAATGTACACAAGACTTATTTATTTGTGTATAATATGATCTTGTGTGTTATATGCAGCCTCAATTATGGGCAATTAAATTCTGGGGAAATATATCTGTTGTACATAAACATTTCAGGCTGTCACCATAAACCACAAAATTTATCTTTTTTCACCAAAATAATATTCTAATAAGAGACCCCTATTTCTAATTTTGAGAGCGCCCTGGGCGCTTATAACGTCGAATACGGTACTTCATAACAAATTAATAGATCACTAAGGTGGGGGAAAAGACCTACTTCAAAACAGTGGATCACTAAGGTGGGGAAAAAAACCTACTTCAAAACAGTGGATCACTAAGGTGGGAGAAAAAAGACCTACTTCAAAACAGTGGATCACTAAGGTGGGAGAAAAAAGACCTACTTCAAAACAGTGGATCACTAAGGTGGGAGAAAAAAGACCTACTTCAAAACAGTGGATCACTAAGGTGGGAGAAAAAAGACCTACTTCAAAACAGTGGATCACTAAGGTGGGGAAAAAGACCTGCTTCAAAACAGTGGATCACTAAGGTGGGGAAAAAAACCTACTTCAAAACAGTGGATCACTAAGGTGGGAGAAAAAAGACCTACTTCAAAACAGTGGATCACTAAGGTGGGGAAAAAGACCTACTTAAAAACTGGATCACTAAGGTGGGGAAAAAACTTAACAGAAATTCATCAAGGTGGGGGGAAAGACTTACCTCGTAACAGTAGATTGCTATGGCGAGGAAAAATGGGAATCCCCGAACTGACATATTCTTCGGGTGAATCCTAAACAGACAAGAAAGACATCATAATAGCTCAAATACAGCAGGAGCAGGAGGAAGAGGTACACTGATGCCTGGAACTAAGTGTGAATGTATTGTGTCTGAAAAACTTGCATGACCTCCATGGTCTGGCTGATGTGTCTCAGGGATGTGTTAGGTCAAATCAAGCCAGGAGCACAGGTGATTGTTTCAGAAGTGGCGACTAAATGGTAAAATACGAACAGAGCAAAAGCATTTAAGGAGATCATTGGGAACTGAAGGCCTAACATATTCTGGAATGAAGGTTCTGTAAGAGTGTATTTCCTGGTTAATGGTAGTACTTCCTGTGTATTGTGTTCATTATGTAAGTTATACAAGGGCGTGAACTGAGAGGGAAGTCCAGTGAACCATGCAGTAGCCATCTAACATGCTTAATGCTTTGGCAAGACCTATAAGTATGGGTGAGGTGAAATTCAGTCCAAGATTATTGCACTTATATAGCGATGTGCATGCACATGTGTGTGTGTGGCTGCTTGCACTAGTCCGGACTGATGCCGATTTATAGTGCTAGCTCACTGAGATACCATGCTGCAGTTTAACATGAATACCCCAACCCCACTCAGACACAGTATACTGACTCCGAGCCAACCAGTCCTTCTTTTAGCCCCTTAATGCCAAGCGCCAGACAGGGTAACAACAAGTACCATCTTTTAACGTCTTTTGGTACGACGCTCTCCGGGCGGATGCTCTACCACTAGACCACGGAGGGGGTTCTATATGTATGGGTATAGTGCTCACAGACCATGGCTTGTAGTTGGGTGGATTCAGGGATTTGTAGCCAAAGCTAAGTCATTCTGGTAAAAATAAGGGACACAACTCTGCACAGCATTTACATGAGAGCAACAGGAAGTGGGTAAAGATAACATTAATATTTCTATTTTACTCTTCATGTTAGTAGAGAAATGATTAATGAAGCAATAAATATTCATGGAAAAAATACCAAATTTTGCATAAATTAGTCTTTTGTTATGAAATTGATAGTTACACACAAAGATGTTTATTCTTACGAAAAGTTACAGATAATACAATGTTGTACCTATAATCAGACATTCGTGAATTGTGTATTGTAGCTTGAGCTGCCTAACCTGTACTACGCCAAGCCTTCACCCACCACCACCACCACCACCACCACCACCACCAACATGGCAGTCAACAGAAAACTCATCACACATGCACATGCTCTCTCCATGTTAGGGTTGGTTACAAACACCAAACACTTGACAATAAATCATATTTTTCCGATCAGTATCCACAGTCCTTGCTGAATGTGAACTCTTTGTAAACCAACATACCAGGGTTAGAAAAGTTGATTTCATTTTCACTAATCCGATCACTGAAATTGATCTGCTACTGAGTTGTCATCTACCTAATGGTAGAGGTCAACAGGTTAACGTCACTAGTCCTTCCTGAATGCTACTAGTCATGAACTAGCGGACTCATGTTAATTTCGAGCCATGCATACAAGACATTATTCCAATTTACTTCACGTTTAGTGTTCTGTATAAATACTACTTTCATGACAACTGACCAAAACCCCCTACACATGTCTAACTCAACGCAGGCATGTACATGATGATTAACAATTAGTTATCGTTGAGGTGCCATGTTCTTCAATCTTATCAAATAAGATCTTAGTTCTCGCAACGGCTTAACAAAGATCTGAAGACATTCATTACAGGTCATGTCCGAATGACCTTTGCGAACTTTGATCGACCAATGAAATGACTAATTCAACATTTTATACAAAGTTCTTTGTTTAGCGGTAGCGAGAAATGTGACCTGATTTTAATGATAATTGCCATGTTGTCATATTAAGAATATATTTTGCTGGCACTCAGCTGATGAATATACATATTATTTTGATTTTGCATTCTCCACGTTTATACAGTTCAGCTGGGGTTGGAAAATACAGACTGGTGAGGAAAGTCAATATGACTCAATTTCTAGATGGTGTCATCTAAATAGTATTCAATGGTGAGTGAACAGAATGGAATATACACATTCATTTCAAATTAACATGAACCATTATCCTTGATACTACAATGTATCATATCTTTATTCTATTATGATCAATATCGTGGACCCATTCATTTCCATAGCTTTCTTCAGTGACCAGCTCCATATATTATATCACTAACTTAGTTAGCACTGAAGTTCTATTGCTCATGAGCTTGGAGTGAGTGAGTGAGTTGGGTTTAACGCCGCTTTTAACAGTATTCAGTTATATCGTGGCGTGTCAGCTTAATGTGTGAGGAAAGCCTGAAGTGATGCAGGTCTCAGACCTTTACCTTTTCGGTGAAACCCACGAGCACGGATATGGTGCTGACAAACCTAGAAACGGGCAAACCGGGATTCGAACCCACAAGCATAAGTTTCTGGTGTGCCAAAAGGATGCAACTCTGCACAGCGAATCGTGACGCCTTAGACGACTGGACCACCCGTGCCCCCTCATGAGCTTGGAAACAACAATCCAACTGTGTCTTCTGAATGCAAGTTTGACATCAATCTACATTCAACAGCTCCTCATTGTCTGAGTAAGCCCTTGAAATATGAAATAACAAACATCATGAAAGAATAGTGTACTTTGATCGGAACTGTTTCCATTGTGTTGTCATTCAATACGGACTCATACCTAAGCTATGCATGTCAATGGATCCAGGTTATACATCATAACAGACTGCCGACAGAATGCCCTGCACAATCAAGAATGGACATCTACATGACTACACATGTCCTGAGTTGCGTAAAAGCATGCAATATATGAGTATCCCTGTAAAAAGTTGGGTGGTATATCAAAACCTAATAGGGAGAATGTCATATGCAGCTGATGAAATATGAAAACACTGAAATTGTTCTATTGAAACTAAGGTTAACGTTACAAGACACATGACCCCTAATCATTAAACCCCAGTATAGTTCAACATGTTAAGAAAAGCTGAGTATTTGCGTAAAATACACAAAATAAATCAACATTAACTCATTCACTTTGACTTGTTTGCAAACAAATACACATGAGAAGTTCAAAACCCTGTAGAATAACAAGACATTACATAGTTAGCCAGTGAATCTATTTCCTGTATTTCTTACAGATCTCTATCGCGAGTGCAGGCATCACACACACATCAACTCCAGTAAAAGGGTGCTACACCTGGCTTATTGTTGACTAGACATCTTAGGAGTTAGGAGACATGTCACACACTTGGAGAAGCACACAAACAGATACAAATTAGAAGTCATCTGAATCAGCATTTCAAGCAGAATTATCTGTCTCCTCATTGGTCTAAAATACCTATTAGACTGGAGTGAGTGAGTGAGTGAGTTGTGTTTAACGCCGCTTTTAACAGTTTTCCAGTCATATCACGGCGTGTCAGCTTAATGTGGGAGGAAAGCCCCAAGTGATGCAGGTCTTAGACGTTTACCACTTCGGTGAAACCCACGAGCACGTGTATGATGCTGACAAACCTAGAAACATTATCGGGGCGAACCGGGATTCGAACCCACAATCATAGGTTTCTGGCGTGCCCAAGGGACGCAACTCTGCACAGTGTATTGAGGCGCCTTAGACAACTGGGCCACCCGTGCCCTCCCATTAGACTGGAACCAAGAGAGCAAAAATATCATGAAAATATTGAATACCCAAACTATTAATACGCAACTTTTGAACTGATTGAGTATTTAATCATGTAACCTGGATCCCTGGGTAACCATGCAAACGGATCATCAAAACTAACCATGCTAGTTACTAGATACTCTACAAACAACTAACAACATGCATCTAACTCTCGTCAACAAAATGGTGTAAGCAAACAATTAAAAATCTAATGTGCACATTGTTACATTCTACACAGCTAATGCATAAAAAAATATGTATGTTAACGAAAGCGTGACTCTGAGAATCTACAACCATCAACATACTTCACAATGATGCAGCTCTGTTGGGAGTCCTACACTAAAGTGCTTTCCCAACACCTTTGCTTCTGGGCTCTGACCAGTTAGTATGGTGAGGAGTTACCTCCGCCTAACATAACCCGACACCTTGGTCACAAGGGGGATATTTTACCTGAAGACCTCATCAAGACATTTATGAGATGGAACCATATGCCCAGCCTCATTACAGTATCTGCAAATAGGACCTGGGCATTATAGGCAATTGTTAAGGAAATCCTGTTTTCAAAATACAGTTGGCGTCTATTGTTAAGTTTTAGATGTCGTTTAACACCACACTCAGCAATATTCCAGCTACATGCTGTAAATAATTTAGACTGGACCATCAGTTTGTTTTTTAACGCAGCACTCAGCGACATATATGGCAGCAATCTGTAAATGATCCAGTCTGGACCAGACAATCAAGTGACTTACATTATGAGCATCGATCTAGGCAATTGGGATACGATGACATGCATCAACATGATCAACCCAGTCTGCGACCCTGACCACTCGATCCCGTTAGTCGCCCCTTACGACAAGCATAGTTGCCTCTTACGGCAAGCATGGGTTGCTGAAAACATATTCTACCCAGATCTTCAGAGTACGATGACACATATGACACAGAGTCTAACCACCTGATCTATTTAGTAGCATCTTACAGCCAGCAAAGGGTTTTTATGAGTGAGTGAGTGAGTGAGTGAGTGAGTGAGTGAGTGAGTGAGTGAGTGAGTGAGTGAGTGAGTGAGTGAGTGAGTGAGTGAGTGAGTGAGTGAGTGAGTGAGTTTGGTTTTACGCCGCTTTTAGCAATATTCCAGCAATATCACGGCGGGGGACACCAGAAATGGGCTTCACACATTGTACCAATGTCGGAATTCGAACCCGGGTCTTCGGCGTGACGAGAGAACGCTTTAACCACTAGGCTACCGACTGCCCCGGTTCCTTATGGACTTTTCTATCCCAGAATACCCACAGATTCCATTGTTAAGTGCATAGAAAATTTTAACTACAACATAAACTCTGCATCACTTCTCTGCAGCTCAGAGTGAGTGAATCTTGTGTAATACAATAGTAAGCAATTTAGTCAACAAAAAATCAAAACCAGTGATTGAAAGCATGAGCAATGATCCAAGCAAGCTGGGAAGGACACTCAACTAGACAGATCCAGTGAATCCCCCCCGAGCTTGTACCCATGTAAGGAATCACCTGACTATCTTGCTGACTCAGTAACTTCTCACAACTCCAAGTACTAAGCTACATGAGACAGCAGTGTTTGTCACCCATGTTTTGTTCAGCAGAAATATGGTGAGGAGAGGTGAAATGGGGTTCAAAGTCACGTCCAAGATTATCGCACTTATATAGCAATAAGCATGCATGTGTGTATGGCTGCTTGCTCTATGTCTGGACTATTGCCAATTTTATAGTTCTAGCAAGCTGAGATACTTGTATACCCCACTCAGACATAGAATACTGACTCCAAGCTGACCAGTCCTTGTTTTAGACCCTTAATGCCAAGCGCAAGACGGGGTAACAACAAGTACCATCTTAACGTCTTTTGGAATGACGCGTCTGGGGATCGAACTTCAGAACTTCCACTCTCCGGGGCAGTCGCAGAAATATGGAAATGTGGATTGCTTACCAATGCCTGACCTCATCTTGTGTTACAATATACGATTACCATATATATCTTGGGATCTTCCGTCTTACATGAAAACACCCAATGCAAAAAATTATCATACAAATCTTACAGAAGGTCACAAAACAAAACAAAAGTAAAATGTGAAAATACTGGATAACAAATTGGCTGTGTATTAGGGCTGTATATTGGCAAAAAATATTGTATTGTAATATATTGCAATATGTATTGTGATATATTGGGAGCTATTTACTTATTTAAGGCCCAACCCTGATCTCCCCCTCTTGTTTACATTGATGCTGGAGGAGGTGAGGTGAAATTGGGTTTAACGTCGCCTCCAAGATTATTGCACTTATATAGGGACGCGCATGCACGTGTGTGTGTGTGGCTGCTTGTACTAGTCCGGACTGATGCCGATTTATAGTGCTAACCCACTGAGATACTATGCCGCAGTTTAACATGAATGCCCCACTCAGACACGGTATACTGACTCTGAGCCGACCAGTCCTTGTTTTAGCCCCTTAATGCCGAGCGCCAGACAGGGTAACAACAAGTACCATCTTTTAACGTCTTTTGGTATGACGCGGCCGGGATCAAACCCCTGACCTTCTGCTCTCCGGGCGGACGCTCTACCACTAGACCACGGAGGCGGTCTCATGCTGGAGGAGACACAGTGAAGCATGTTATAGATGTTTACTGCTTTGATGAAGTCCATGAACCCTGGTGTGGTTGTAACAAATCGTAGACTATAACCAGGGTGCCGTTGTACAAAGCGATCATAGCGCTAAGGTGATCGTAACTCCCGTACCATAACATAGACTTACGACAGTAGCGCTAAGGTTGTTTTGTACAACGGCACCCAAGATGTATCTTTCACTTTCAACCTCAAACTATCAAATTAAATTTTAGCATGACTGAAGGATGCAACTGGGCATAACGACCTACGATGTCATGGACAGCAGACCCATCTGTTCACAACGACGTTTAAAGCTATGTCATCAATATCATCTTTACAAAACAATTACGTCTTCTTTGCAAATTCATATCTGGAAGAACCTGCTGAAAACTAACAGAATTTTCACACAATGACTCTCTTAAACAAACCCTTAAGACTCAACCCTCTGAAACAAGCTTTGATCACCCTATGGGATGAGTTTTCTGTTAAATAAAAGAGCAACAAAAACTGTTTAAGACAACTGAAAAGAGTAGATATAATCCTGAATAAAGTGATCCGTGGATATATTGTGAGATGTGCATTAAATTGAAAATAATTAAAACCATGTACACAAAGCATAATGCAAAGAATGAATACATAACACTGAACAACAGCGTTTAGGTATCCTGGAAAGAATGGTTACTAGAGTTGGAAAACTGAAGGAAGGACTCATCTGCCACACTTCAAATGAATATTTCAAATGAGTTGAGGACACTTGAGAACAATTCAAAGTCCACAGTGAGCTGATTGCGGTTTGGTTAACTGTATTCAGTCCTATCAAGGCAAATCAGCTTGTCGTAGTGAAACAAATGGCAAAGGTGCTGCTGGCAAACTAAGAATAATAATTCGAAACAACAACTAGCCTAAGGGACATAACTCTGTAAATCAAGTTGAAGCAAATTATCTAAGCAAAATGGGCAAAAAGTGTTCTTAAATTTAGTATATTGTTTTAGCCCCTTAATGCCAAGCGCCAGGCAAGGTAACAACAAGTACCATCCTTCAACATCTTTTGGTATAATGAGGGCGGGAATCAAACCCGGACCTTCCGCTCCCTGGGCGGATGCTCTACCACTAGAGGAAGTCTAGTTTAAAAAGAGACTTGGGATTTCAGGTTTGTGCTTGAATTCCTACAGTTCAGCAACAGATTCATGTTGGGTTCCCTGAGTAGCCATGGTAACCTTTTAGAGTTAATAAGAGTAGCATGCCTGTCCGGTTTAACCAATCATTCTTATCAAGAGAATCGTTATTTTAGCATTGTCAGGAAATCATATATTTTTTAAATCATCATTTATCTTTCTTTTTTTCAAAATCAGGGTGAAATCAATTTGGAGATCGTAATACAAGTAAAAATGATCGGGCCTAAGTGGTTCATTTAAAAATGGGTGACTAACAGCGAAAACATAATTAACTTCCATTAGCATTATGCAGTAGACACATGACAAATCCGAGTACTGATATACATGTATCACAACACATTCTATACACTAGGGTCCTGTATCAATGTGTCCATTTAGATGTCACTTCTCTACACATGACTAATCCAAGTACTGATATATCACAACACATTCTATACACTAGGGTCCTGTATCAATGTGTCCATTTAGATGTCACTTTTATACAGCTGACAGTGGGTTTCACTGCTCCTATTGTTTGCAATATGATACTCCAAAGTTCACTGTTCCCCTATATATGAACCTTCGGGTACCTTGTTTCTGGGCTGGTCCACCCATCAACTCACATGAAATGTCTTTACCCTGTAACAAGGATTTGGTAATCCAGAAATTTGTTGGTTCTCAGGCACCACCCACATCATCATAAAGTTTGCCGCATGTTTCTTTTTTTTTTTCATTTTTTTTACAGTAGTCAAATACTGTATTCCGGTATCATACTCATCAAGGACTACATGTATGTAGGGAGGCCTTTTCCCAGGTTGATTGTACACATTTGTTTATTGATTACACAACTGTTTATTGGTTACATACCAGTTTGAACACACACCCACCCCACCCCACCCCAAAAAAGAAGACACTGCCCTCCCACACTATATTTTCAAAAACGATTGCCTGAGAACCAATTTTTTAATGTTTTAAGCCTTATACTCAAGGACCAACCTGTAGGTCCCGTGACCAAATCATGGAAACAAAGGTTTAAAGTGTTTTTGAGTTTCCTGATGTATACTGAACAATTTTGACTTGGGCTGCCTGGTTGAAAATCCCAGGCATTTTGGGGAAGGGTCAACAAAGGTCAAACAGGGGTCAAAATTCAAAATTGTGTCGATATGCATATCAAATTACTCGTCCAGTCATAAGGAACCTAGAAATATATAGTTTGTTATACTTCCGACCTTAAATGGGGGAGCTATGGCCAAAAACGTTGAAAGGTCAACGCACTTTTGGCAGTCGGTGAAGTTCACAAACACAGTTAACATTGTCCGATAGTCATGATTTTAGTGTCTAATAATATATTTTCTGACATGTCAAATTCAACCAAGCAACTTTTAAAAGTAAAAAGGGTTACCTTGACCTTGAAAATCACGGGACCTACAGGTTGGTCTTAATTGGTCATAAGTATTAATGAAGACAATTCAACAGTCTGATCGTTTGTTTGTTGCTTAATGTTGCACTCAGCAATATAACATCCATTTGATGGCCGTAAATAATCTTGTCTGGACCATACAATCCAATGAGTGACATGATGAGCATCGATCTACGTAACTGGGATACGATGTGTTTACAGAGAACGTAAGTTTGATTACCCGATCCCGTTAGTCGCCTCTTATGTGTTGATGAGGAGGCAGAGGATGGGTCAGTCTGGATTAAAAGGGTTTCACTGTTCAGTTGGTGAGTCAACATGGTGAAACGTTGATCAGTATTCCAGGATTATCATGGCAGAGGACAGCAACAACAGGTTTCACAAAATATACCCATGAGGGTAAATGAAGCTGTTGTCTTTAGCAGGATGAGTGAATATTTTAACCACAAGGGTACCCCACTGCCCTACACCCATAGAAGAAAGAAATTCAAAATAATCCCAACCAAAGATATGCAAGTGTATGACAAGAGGATAGTGAGACTCCAGTGAAATGAAAACTGTAATACACCCAGCCTGAATGTCGGTTACAAGGGTACATGGACAACAACAGCCTAGTCCAAGGGAGATAATTCTGTAGTATACCTAGTGTTACAATGTAGCAGGAACTCGAAAGTGACATAGCATCTACAGAACAAACAATGACAACTACAGTGCACGCTCACAGACCTTGGTGAAAGGTACTGAAATCACACTAGAAATTATACAACTTAATAAATAAATACTTGTTAGAATATTTAATTTAAACATGAAATAAATGTCTTGTAGGAATGCTGTCTTAAAATCAATGGCGATGATTTTTCATTAAGTGGCAGTTGAATCAATACTCTCGAACACTACTCTGCTCTGGTGATCACAAAAACTTTTCAATGACATACATTTAACGTGTCAAACCTTTTCCCACAGATTGATTCAAATGAATTGAACATACATTAAACATGATAATTACATAGAGACACACAATGTACAGATTGTTAACTTTAGTATTCTTAATTCTCAATGTTTCAAGGCTACTTCTTGAGCCATCTTGCTTCATGATCAGGTGAATGATGAGTTAATCCCCTGAACAAAGGGCAAACAGTATCTCCAAATGTACCCATATATCGTGTGTCTCTGTGCATCTGCAATATTCAACTCTATCAAAGATATGTTAAATAGGTGCTGCAATAAGAAAATTCTTTCAGCTGAGTCATAGTTGAAGACCTGTGTATCTGTCAATTATCCAAGAATTCGTTGCAGCCACAGCAATTTCCCGTCTAGATTAACAATCATGTCTATGAAAGAATCTTTAATAATTGTATCAGCAATTTCGACTTTGATTTTATCTGTTTCATGTTTTATGCCGTAGTCAGCAATATTCCAGTAATATGATGGCCTCTGAATAATCAAGTCTGGACCAGACAAACCAGTGTTTGATATTCTGAGCAATGTCTGGGTATAATCCCAGTCAACAAGCTCAACCACCAGATCCATTTAATCGCCTGTTATGACAGGTTGCTGGGGACCTTTTCCGAACTGGTATCCCCAAGGGCGTCTACATCAGGACGGGGCCCACTGAATGATACAGTCCAGGGGGGACTCCATTTTAATCACTGGAAGTAATTCAATACACACAACATATGTACTTGTCAGCCTCCATACAAGCTGTCTTATTATATCCTTGATCAGGGCTACTCAGTGTCTGTCATCAGCCATGACAATGTATCAGTGTAGTGGGTCCACATTCAAAGCTATCTTCCCTATAACCACTACAGGTAAGGCTTATTTTAATCTATCTTGAATACCACCAAAAATAAAGAAATGAAAACATTTAAAAAACAAAACAGAAAAAAAGAGTTCACTGTTTGTAAGAATTTTTCCATACAAACATTTCTAAACTGATTGGAAATGCTCTTATTTCAGTCAAAGAAAACCAGGTGAAAAAACATTTACCAATGAATACTGTTAAACTATGAATTCATCAAAGCAGAAAATATAGCATGTACTTTTTTTCATGTTAGTTTAAAAAATCATGAAAATCCATTAACCCAAGGAAAGGGTATGGGGACAAAACACTTCAGTGTACCAGCGTAATAATTAGTCAACAACTTTGAAACATCTTTACACACAAGAACAGTCACTTTGTGTCCTGTAAAACTTCTAGACAAGCAATAAAGTAATTAATTTACAAGTAGAAAAACTAAATAAATAAAGCAGTGTTAGTTTTCAAAATTACAGAAAGAGCAAAAAGTTGCAGGCAGTTAGTAGTTCATAATCTGTTCATTCACAAATTAAATATTCCTTCAATATATTTTTCAGTCAGTAATTCTAGGTTATGTCTCTAGCGCTGGCTCTATGTAACATACAGTGACACATGTGGTTTCTTCTAATGTTACTTCTAGACAAGACGACCATGCTACTTGCAGAGGATGAGGAAGATGGTGAATACTCACTCAATATTGTTGAGATGTTCAAAGTCAAACCAGAACACTACTGCAAACGCCATTAGATTAGAGCACTGTGCCATCAAGCTGAAAAGAGACACATATTTGTACATTAGGAAAGCAATGATTTTTATAATCAACTCACTTGTTAAACACTTGCAGAAAATACTTCATTGTTATTGAGATATACCATGTTTAGACGTTTGAGCAATACACCAGCCACACCATGGTGTGGGATAGAAAGACTGGTCTTCACTCACTGTATCCACGTGGGTAATCAAGTCTGGAAGATGATTAAAAGCTTTACAGATGAGAATGTTTGTTTGTTTGTTGTTTAACGCCGCACTCAGCAATATTCCAGCAATATGATGGGGGTCCGTAAATAATCAAGTCTGGAAGATGATTTAAAACATAACAGATGAGAATGTTTGTTTGTTTGTTGTTTAACGCCGCACTCAGCAATATTCCAGCAATATGACGGGGGTCCGTAAATAATCAAGTCTGGAAGATGATTTAAAACATAACAGATGAGAATGTTTGTTTGTTTGTTGTTTAACGCCGCACTGAGCAATATTCCAGCAATACGACGGCGGTCCGTAAATAATCAAGTCTGGACCAGACAATCCAGTGATTGACATCATGACCATCTATCCACACAATAGGAATACAATGACATGCATCAAACTTATACACAGACAATGGCCTTCAACAAAGAGTCCCACCTAGATATGGAGAGGCTGGAGAGATGACGCAGCAAGGTGAGCAGGCATAGGGGCGGCAACAGTATCAGCAGCCAGTGACCTCTGCAACAGCAACAGCAACATCCAAAATTAAACATATTACAGCGATATAATATCTAGGGGTATCTTTTTTGTTCTGCCGATATGTACAAGACAGCATTTCCCCCAAAGCTTGTACCCATGATTTATGTGTGTGAATGATATACAGAAGAAAAGAAGTTATATTTTTGCGAACACAATTTCATAAAAAATATCCGAAAAATTATTCATGATCCCAACTTTTCTTTTGTTTGGTATACACAAGAAAGTACAGTACATCAGATACAAGAATTACTACATGTTGAATATTAAGAGATTCATCTGACCCAGTGAGTTGAATTCAAGTGAGCTTGATATAAACAGAAGCAATGTAAACATAACACACAGAGACAATAAAACCACACCATTAAATTTATGGCAATTCTCATATATCAACTCTGTTTAATGCGAGTCGACAACATCAGTCATGATTAATCTACCAGTCATATTTCATTACGTAGCATAATGGCTATACACACTGAGGGAAACAAATAATGAAACAGCTGTATACATGTGAGTGGGTTTAATGCCCCTTAGAACAGTACTTGAGCTCCACCACAGCGTGTCAGCTTCATGTGGGCGGTTAGACTCACCTGATGCATGTCAAGTTGGACATTTAATACTTCAGTGAAACCCAGGGGCATGGGTATGGTGCTGACAAATCTAGAAACATCATCAGGGTGACCCGGGGTTCAAACACATGATCATAGGTTTCTGGCAGGACTAAGGGACACAACTCTGCACAGCAAATTGTGATGCCAGTGATAGACACAGCCACTAGTCAGAGACTAGTGACTTCCTTGACAAGTTATTTTCCACAAAGCACTAGGTTGAAATGAGCTGCAGCTATAAGATTTTGTTTGTTTGTTGTTTGACGAAGCACTCAGCAATATTCCAGCTATATGACGGTGGTCCGTAAATAATCGAGTCTGGACCAGAAAATCCAGTGATTGACATCATGAGCATCGATCAACACAATTGGGATAAGATGCATCCATCAACCAAGTCAGCCAGCCTGAGCATCTGATCCCGTTTGTCGCCTCTTATGACAAGCATAGTCGCCTTTGATGGCAAGCATGGGCTGCTGAAGATCCAGCTATAAGCTGACTACTGTAAGTAAGTCTTGATATTGATGGAGCAGAGATAAATAAACCAGCGATTGCTGGTATGAGCAACAATTCATGTCATTGGGGAGCGATGACACGCTTTCAACCAAGTCACCATGCCTGATCTCCGGATACATAACTTAATAAAGCGCCAGGGTAGCACACACCAGGTGTTGAGACGGTATCCCGCTAGTGACCAGGTTGGTGTTCAACCTATGGATCAACAATGTTTATAGGTCAACACAGTGTTGTCACTACCCCTAGTGTACAGGACATTCACCCTGTGCCCCCCCCCCCCCCCCCCAAAACCCACTCATCCGTTGGTGGATGACCAGATAGTGGAAATATGAATATATACATACACCTGAAACACAAGCGCCAAAACGTGTGGTGTCACCCTGGGCAAGTGGCTTAGTTCAAGTGTGCCTCTGTTCAGCCAAAAGCACAGGGTTCTGACAGATTGAGGGTCATAATCAGAGAGATTCTGGGATTCAAAACCAAGCTCAGCAGATCCTGCTACAGCAAATGAAGCAAGGATCAACTACAAAGGAAGCATATTTGGTACCAGATTTTGTAAGTACCCCTCAGAACACCATCATTCATCATTGTAGGAACCAAATCTGAAACTGCCATTTCCGTGTGTGACTTGCTCTCTACTGCGAATTTCAGTAAATTGTTAAACATGCGAATAAAATATTTCATTGTGTTCACTGTGTTATCATCAGTATAGTCGTGATGAAACAATAGTTCAGATACAATTCTTCCGATCATTGTATCAAGTTATATTATTGGTAAATTTTTAACCATACCGGTAGATTGGGCGAAAATGTGTGTACAGCTGATTGCTGTTTGCTGCTTAGTATACGAGAAAATACACACAGTAATCTTAATCTTTGCAAATAAAACAATGCCTAGCAGAACAGGAAATACAATTTGAATGGTTAATCATCATGTCTAGTGAGTGATGTTTTACCTCAAATTTCAAATTTGTATTGATCAAGTTTTTTATCACCTCATTGCCGAGTGCTGGAGACAAGCACATTATTATTGCACATGCAAGGATTGTGTATGTTCAGGTGATGTGGTTCCTTCCAGATCGCTTCATAGATGGGGATATGTAAAGTAAGTCCTATGAAATCGGATGTGCTTGAAGTGTATTCTGGACATAGCTACTTACATCCTCATTCCCTTGAAGTAGTCGGAGAGGTTTTCTGATATGAAGATGAGGTAGGCACAACAGAATCCTGAAAAACATGGAGATGATAAATACCTCACGAACACAATCAGCTGACTTGTGGAGTGAACGGGAACTAATGGTGATCTGCGGCTTCAACTTACTGTCCACATTACCTAGCTAACCTGTCTGACACACTTATGACATTTAACCTGTCTGAGACACAGACAAACCTCATCTGTCTGAGTGAGTGAGTGAGTGAGTATGGTTTTACGCCGCTTTTAGCAATATTCCAGCAATATAACGGCGGGGGACACCAGAAATGGGCTTCACACATTGTACCCATGTCGGGGATCGAACCCGGGTCTTCGGCGTGACGAACGAACGCTTTAACCACTAGGCTACCCGACCGCCCCTCATCTGTCTGAGACACAGACAAACCTCATCTGTCTGAGACACAGACAAACCTCATCTGTCTGAGACACAGACAAACCTCACCTGTCTGAGACACAGACAAACCTCATCTGTCTGAGAGACACTGATAATACGTCATCTGTCTGAGACACAGACAAACCTCACCTGTCTGAGACACAGACAAACCTCATCTGTCTGAGAGACACTGATAATACGTCATCTGTCTGAGACACAGACAATACCTCATCTGTCTGAGACACAGACAAACCTCATCTGTGCAAGAGACACTGATAATATCTCACCTGTCTGAGACACACTCATGATATCTAACCTGACTGAGACACACAGACAATACCTCATCTGTCTGAGACACAGACAATACCTCATCTGTCTGAGACATACAGAAAAATCTCACCTGTCTGAGACACCACAATGGCCAGGTCCACCAGGAATCTTCCTGTGTGACCCAAAGCTTCATATCCTGCAACACAGAATGTAATTCACTAACAACAAATGTTTAAGCTACGTCAGTATTTTGTGGTTCAGAAACATTGTTCCTGTATTTGCGAAAATTTCAAGGCATGGTCACAAGGAAAAGATCTAATCAATGACCATTATCAAGAACTGGATCATACCATGGATGGTCAGGCCCACTAGAAACTACCATACACCAAATCCCATTACAGTTCGAAAAAACAGGAATAGTATCAGGCCACAAATATTTTTTTAATATGGTTGCCAACGTCTTAAACAAATTCAAGATTGGTTGGAAGGGCAATGACTCAACTTTTAGCCAGGTGAGCTACAAATGTTACATGACTCTCAACATATACAAAAGCAAAAAAAGATTGTTCTTTATTATCACAAGGGACATATGTTATCTGTCATTATATTTTTTAAATATAACATCACATAACAATAGCTCAGTTGAACCATCCGTTAACATTGCTACTGTTTGTACACATTAATCAGCAGCTTGATAGCCGATATACAGGTGAGCTAAGAACACTTATTGTTCCATGTTACTGTTTGTACACGTTCACCAGCAGCTTGATAGCCTATATACAGGTGAGCTAAGAACACTTATTGTTCCATGTTACTGTTTGTACACATTCACCAGCAGCTTGATAGCCTATATACAGGTGAGCTAAGAACACTTATTGTTCCATGTTACTGTTTGTACACATTCACCAGCAGCTTGATAGCCTATATACAGGTGAGCTAAGAACACTTATTGTTCCATGTTACTGTTTGTACACATTCACCAGCAGCTTGATGGCTGATATACAGGTGAGCTAAGAACACCAATTGACCCATGTTACTGTTTGTACACATTCACCAGCAGCTTGATAGCTGATATACAGTTGAGCTAAGAACACTAATTGACCCATGTTACTGTTTGTACACATTCACCAGCAGCTTGATAGCCTTACAGGTGAGCTAAGAACACTAATTGACCCATGTTACTGTTTTTACACATTCACCAGCAGCTTGATAGCCTTACAGGTGAGCTAAGAACACTAATTGACCCATGTTACTGTTTGTACACATTCACCAGCAGCTTGATAGCCTTACAGGTGAGCTAAGAACACTAATTGACCCATGTTACTGTTTGTACACATTCACCAGCAGCTTGATAGCCTTACAGGTGAGCTAAGAACACTAATTGACCCATGTTACTGTTTGTACACATTCACCAGCAGCTTGATAGCCGATATACAGGTGAGCTAAGAACACTAATTGACCCATGTTACTGTTTGTACACATTCACCAGCAGCTTGATAGCTGATATACAGTTGAGCTAAGAACCGATAAACAGTTTGTTGGAAATAAGTACCCATCATGCACATGTTACCCACTGTAAAACACACCTGTGCATTTCAATGTTAAGTATGCAACAATAGTATCATCATGATCATAACACCAGCCCTGTCATATTTCATGGCATCATCTCAATTTCATATTTTCCAACTGAGTGGTCATTTAATCATCAGCTACTTGTCGAGCTGATCATGCTGATAATTATCATCAAAATGACCACATAAAAATTTAACGGACAACAAAACTGTAATTGGCGAGGGCTGAATCGATAGTTGATTATGAACAGAAGGTACACAGGGCCAATGAAAATACTGAAGTTTGAAATCCTATCTAATTATCTGCCCCTGACAAAACAATATGTTAATGATGGCAAACATAAACTTTGAAACATCTGCAAGTGTCACCCTAGTCGTGGCAACAGTAAGAGAATTAGGAGAATAATGTCCTGTGTTTTCAAGTTAGGACTAAGTTACTTGTAGATTTAACCATGCTAAATTGATTTTGGAACTGAACATCCAGTTATCACAAGGAAAACTGAGTTACAATGGCCTACTTTTAAGCATAGCAGTGTTATGCCCCTTTTCTCTGTGCTTTTGTATATCTCTCTGTTGTGTTTTGAACTTGATAAAGTCATTTATCATGTTTATAACAAGTTGGTTTTTTTCATAAAAAATGTAACGTTATACATAGGCTTACAAATCCATTTATTATATCATAACGCCGTTCAAACATTAGGCAGTACTTGTTCACTTACAGTTTACATAAACCTATCAAATAGAAAATTATACTGTCACATAATACTTTTATTGTGTTCATCTGTGTACGATAAAAAGTGGTGAAATTTTATGTGTATTTTTTCGCATAAATTTTCAGACAACAATGAGCATGTTATGTTTGAAATTACATTTCCACCCTCTGACAGGAAATTGACTATCCTACAGCTCTGCATAATGTTATAGTTAGAGGTAGACCAGTGCTGTGCGACCGCTATACCTGCACAACTGAGTGGCACGTAGGGTAGAAACAAGTACTGTCTTTTAATGTCTTTAGGTATGAGTGAGTGAGTGAGTGAGTGAGTGAGTGAGTGAGTGAGTGAGTATGGTTTTACGCCGCTTTTAGCAATATTGAACCCATGTCGGGAATCGAACCCGGGTCTTCGGCGTGACGAGCGAACGCTTTAACCACTAGGCTACCCGACCGCCCTCTTTAGGTATGAGGCAGCCAGGGGATCGAACTGTCAATCTTTCACTCATCAGGCAGGCACTCTACACTAGATCACAGAGACGGTACTTTCAACATAACGCACACAGGAACATAATACACACAGAGAAATTTTAATCCTTGCATCAGTACAATTGGCACCTTTACCTTCCAATAGTGAGTGAGTGAGTTGGGTTTAACGCCCCTTTTAACAGTATTCCAGTTATATCCTGGCGTGTGAGCTTAATGTGGGAGGAAAGCCTGAAGTGATGCAGGTCTTAGACGTTTACCACTTCGGTGAAACCCACGAGCACGGGTATGGTGCTGACAAACCTAGAAACATAGTCGGGGTGAACCAGGATTCGAACCCACAATCATAGGTTTCTGGCACGCCCAAGGGACGCAACTCTGCACAGCGAAACGTGGCGCCTTAGACTGGGCCACCCGTGCCCCCTCCTTCCAATAGAGTACATGGTGTAGCTGTGCTTGTTTGTTTGGTGGTGGTGAGAGTAGCCTTTGGACTATATCATATTTCGCTGTCCCTCACCACCATAGGTAACATTTTTTCATGCCCCCTCAAAATCCAAAATCCCCCCCCCCCCCCCCACAACACCAACTTATAACTTTTATATTTAAAAAAAACATGTCATTTTTATGCATACTCAACAGCTCATGTGTGCATTTTACACATGAAAAGAACCTGTCCTAAAAACCTTTTGACTTTTTACTGGACACTCGGGATAGTAAATAAATATTGTTCATCAGTTAGGGACTTGTTAAGATATATCACAAGTTCAACACGAGTTGCAAATATATTATAGCAACATGGTTTCTGAACCATTGCATGTACATCATGTTTGCATTAATTTACAAATTAAATTTCAGTGATGTGTTTAATGTGTGGTACAACAAATGGTGCAAAGAGTGTATTTTGCATATTCAATGTTCATGAAGTAATAGTTTCAACTGTTTGACGACAGATGCGAGGAAAACATAACTATACCGATCGGGCTACCACAAAAATGCTCCACTAGTCTGACAGCCTGTTGTACTCGATTCAGGCTTTGGACTAATGGCTAATGACTTTGAAAATATGTTACTTGTGCTAAAAGTGCTGTCAAACATCATAGTGTTCATCACTATGGGACGTCAACAGATGCACCGATCACCCAACCATCTTTAATGTAGTCAACTTCATAAACAATCAGTCAAACAGAAAATAATCACAATTAGTCAGTCACACTTCCTAAATTTCAAAGTATCCAATTAATATGGTTAATGTTGGTACACACATCACAAATATTTGGGCAATGAATACTTAATGAGTTTTGTTGTTATTCATAGCTTATTCATCATTCATATGTACAGTAAAACAAATAACAAGCACATGAAGAGACTATGTTTATGTCTACCTGATATTACAACAGTTTGTGTCAATATGTTTGAATCTACTAACCTGTACATGAATTTGGCAACATAGATTTCAGTCTTAGTCTAAGGACTGACACCCGCAGTTTCAGGGTATTTAAGAATACAATAATTTCAGATTATCTTTATAAGTGAATGACTGAGTGACTTTGATTTTACGCCGCTTTTTAGCAATATTCCCGTATCATCACTGCGGGGGGCTTCACACATTGTACCCATGTTAGGAATTGAACCCAGGACTTCGGCGTGACAAGCGGATTATCTTTATCAGATCTAATATATATCTATAGATGTTAATTCAATCACTATTTTGCAGGAGGGACTGTAGAAGCCATAAATCAACAGTGTGGAAACCATAATGGGAGACAAAGTTTTGTCAGTTATGAACACAGGGCTGCAAGGAAAATAATTAATCAGGCTTCAGAGTTCATTTTGGCCATGGTTACTGTATTTCAGTGTTCGAAATTAAACCATGAAAGTCAAGAAGTGCTTATGTTAAGATTGAAATATTATAGATTGATGTAAGGAAATGATTATACTTTAAATTATAATTCCTAGATTATATAAATAACAAGTTATCTGTATAAAATAATGGCATCTTTGTACAGTTTGCTTGTCTAGACTTGCCTATTACCATGATTACAAGGATAGAATTACTATACATCCATGGACTTATCATTAAGTACAGCCTTGGAGCAAGGCTAATACAACCACTACAGCATCAAAACATGTTAAATCTACCTCTACCCAAGACCCCTGGATTTTGAACACTGTATTGTGCAGATTGTTGGGAACCCTTCAGAATCGATCATTCTATCATGCAAACTTCATTCATGGTACCAATCCAAGATTGTAGGCTCAAGTCTGGCCTCCACATGACTGTCGGCCATCAGGACACTCACGCCACTTTCTCCACCATCCACTACTCACCTACATCTCCGTATGTCAGGTCGGATGTCTGAAACAGAACAGGTCACAATGTGTTACCATAACAACGAAACAAATATCTACCAAGCTTTTTCATGAGAAATGTTCATCAGTGACCAAAATATGAAAGTCTGTGTTTCTGTGACATCATGCACAACTGGTACCGGACCGGCCTGCGGCTTATCTACAGTCATATACATATACTATATACCGTAGTATTCAGGAACACTATGACCATGATGAGAGAAGACACTGTCACAATTGTCATAAAAACTGATCAACAGACAGACAGACAGTTTTATTTGCATGAGGTACAAAAAGGTTTACAAGTACCATTTTACAGAGAGCTATTTCTTAAGGGAAGATAAACAGGTGTTTTATCTTCCTGTGAAGATACAATTCAGGAACCTGGCAAAGTGTAACATCACATTAACATTTGTTGACTGACATATTCTTTGTAATGAATAATAGTTATCACTAACAGTTTTGGGAATTAAATATTTCCGCTCACCATCGTAGAGCACACAGTGGTATATAACATGTATTTCGTCTTCAATTACATTACAATGCTTGCACAAAGCATTTTGGTCATCCCAGCTTACAGCTTACTGATCAACACCGTCTCATCATTAGTTAAGACACTGAGTGAGTGTGTGTGTGTGTGTGTGTGTGTGTGTGTGTGTGTGTGTGTTGTTGTTTAATGTTGTACACAGGTATATTCCTGCCCTACGATGGCTGCCTGTCAATAATTGATTCTTGGTTGGCCAAGCCAGTGATTGATATTGTAAGCAACGATCCACACCAAAGGGTACGATGACGTGCCATCAACCAAATCACCCCTGATCTAATTGGTCGCCTCATACAACCTACAGAATCCCTACATCCCAATAAGTGTTTTATTCATGATAAGCAGATCCTTGTGGCGAGGGTCCTGGGGCAGATGAGGTCTGCAGCACATGCTTCCTGTAATTGCCAACAAGATGTGGATCGGCAGTCTGACTGTGACCTGGCTGATCGTGTGTAAATGGTGGGGGTAATTACACATTCTACTAACAACATGATTACTTGACCCATTTACAGGCAACCACGCCTTAACTGGAATGCTGCTGACTGCAGTCCAGAACATCACAAGGTCACTGTTAACAAGGTTAACACGAGACATTTACTTCAGATAGTTAGGGCTGTATATTGGCAGCAACACTGTACAGCAATATGTTGCAATAGAACTATCTGTATTGAGATATATTGGGAGAAAAAGTGTTTTACAGTGGTTGACACTAATTGTACATGCAGATCCTAATTTCTACGTACAATTTTGTTGTGAGGTGAAGGTGAAGTGAAATGGGGTTTAACATCACGTCCAAGATTATCACACTTACATAGCAAGGTGCATGCACATGTGTGTGTGTGGCTGCTTGTACTAGTCCAGACTGATGCCGATTTATAGTGCTAGCACACTGAGATACCATGCTGGAGTTTAACATGAATACCTCACTCAGACACACTATACTGACTCCGAGCCGACCAGACTTTCTTTTAGCCACTTAATCATGTTATTGCCGAGTGCCAGACAGGGTAACAACAAGTACCATCTTGTAACGATTTTTGGTATGATGCGGCAGGGGATCAAACCCTGGACCTTCCACTCTCTGGGCGGACGCTCTACCACTAGACCATGGAGGCGGTCCATTTTGTAGTAATGAATCAGTGGAGACAACAATGTGAGTGAGGAATAACTTCCGTATTTCCACCATTTTGTTGATCAATGTAGATTTGAGCAAAGACGTATATGTCTTTGATTTTAGGCTAAATCATAACAAAACATATTCATTACCTAATAAACAGGAACACATAAAAAATTTATTAAAGTTTATTATATTTACAAGTTAGATCTGTATTTTTATTGGTTGAGAAAGGGTCAAGACCTTCTTTAAAACACAGTACTGCCCCAAACCCACCCTTTTGTTCTGCGATAAAATGTGGTATCGCCCTGCCTGATAAAGCCATGGACACAAAGGAGAGAAATATGCTCAGCCAATCAGTGAAAGGTTTTGCAAAGTTTGTTGCGAAGCAGCATGAGTTGTTGAAAGTTCAAATTGAAATAATGTATCTGTAATCATGTAATACAACTGCCATCAGGGTCGATAATTGATAAATGCCTGTAATACTGTGCAGTCCTACCAGTAACTTAAATGACATCATCATGATCTTAAATATGGCACAACTGCATGTTTTTAAAACAATTCTTAGCCTCCTTATTTGGTACGGTATGCCAAGAGTTCATATTGTGTCAGATTACTGGAAGCTAACAATCTCCAGATTTAGGACGTATGGCACAGTTCTCTCTTTCCCCACCCAGACAATCAGAACAAGTTTTCCCTGTCGTGGTGTTAGTTTCACACAAATGTCAACCACCTGTGTGTCTGGGACTGCTGTGTAACCGTGACAACTATACCATAATTATTTTATCACCTTTTTATTGTATTTCTTAGCACAAATAAAAACGTAAAAATATTATTAGATGATTTGTATCCATATTTCATATTTAGGAGAAGCAAGGAAATATGAATTCCTAAACGGCTTCAGTACTTGTATGATAGATACCTTACTTTATCATACCTATATATTAATCAGGACAATATTCTAGATGGCATAAATACATTTACATAATGATTCTGATCCATGTTTGTGATGTGTGTTCAACAGCCTGTCTTACCTCACCATACAAGGCCCAGGCTTGACTATTTACAGACCATGGTCATATAGCTTTAATATTCCTGAGAATGGCATTAAGCAAACAAAAAGAATCTATACATTGACACAATTTACCATGTTTATCATGAGTAGATATTTGTCATACTAGCAACAGACCTTACACAATCACCCCACGTATTTGCTAAGTAAAGACTGTTAAGTAGTTAAAGTCTATCTTAAGGATATCTCTGGTCTGGATTAAGAGACTGCAACTTTTTCTAATACAGGTAGATTTACCTATTATTTCTGCTTCATGATAATTTTTTTATACACAATCAATGTTCAGAAAATGTTATCAATCATTCATGAAAATGCCTAATTTGAGATGCACAGCACTTAGTTGATATATGGCCGACATATTCCCACCTTCCCAACACCTGTCACGCAGAGCAGCCGAGGCACTTCAAGCTTCCAACATCTGCGTCCAACACGCCTTTTCACACACACTCCATATTCACACCATCCACGTTAATATTTCTATAACTCAATCTTGCCCAACTCAAGGCCTGTTTCATGCCAATAGATAGGCCATGATTAATAGTTCAATAGTCTCTTTGTTACTGTAGTCAAAATGTGACAATGTCAATATTGTGTCTACTAGACATATCTATATCATATGTATACACCACTGGAGCATGACAGTAAGGAAAGGTAAAGTCAGATGCATCATGGTAGGGATGGGTATTGGATGTTTAAAGTTTAAAGCATCACAACATTTTACAATGCACATGGCTGTATTGCGATATGTATCACTATATATTGTATAATTCAAAATTTAGAATACAGAAGCAATTTGAAACATCAATTGAAGTACATAAATGGAACAAAACAAGATCCTGGAACAGCATAATGTTTACTCATTCAATAAATATGCACGGATGCACGCTCCGGGACAGTGATGACTTGGTGTTACACCACTGCCACAGAAAACCTCCACAATGCGAACTTGCGAGTTTTCTCCCATGTAACAAATTTTGAGTGAGTGAGCAGGTTATGGTTCAGCACCATTTTGAACGAGATCACAATTATATCATCTGTGTGTCAGTTTAATGTGGGAGGAAAGTGATGCATGTCTTAGATGTTCACCACTTGAAACCAATGAGCACGGGTATGGTGATGACAAACAACGATGTATATCGGGTTGCAGAGAGGTTCAAACCCGCAATCAAGGATTCTGGTAGGCCCTAGTGATGCAACCTCTGTACAGAGCATATGCGGAACCATAGAAGACTGGCCCCTTCCTCCTGGGTATATAATTTGGTTGGTAATGAGAATTTACCGTTGCCATCGTTTAGTGTAAATTATCTGTGAAAGATGGAAGGTAGACTTTGAGCTGCTTTTTGTTAGCCTCTACCAGAGAAATATTTTAGACTCTGTGTTTTGGATATTGAAAGATTTTAATCAATAAATGACCTGTATTATTTTTTTAAAATCTGGTATTTTGTCATTAAAAATATTCCTACTGTCCCCCAAAAGAATGGCATGGAACACATAAGGTGAACTTCAATTTCATGGCAGATGACAACGACAGCATTTTGGGAGAAGAGTTCTCAGTAATAATGTTGAGGTGAGTCAGTAGAGGTTTAAGCCACTTGCAGCAATATTCCAGCGACATCATGGCAGGGACACCAGAAATGGCCTCTCACCTTGCATCTATGTGGCGATTCAGATCAAGGTCTTCAGTGTGCAGAGCTAATGCTTCAATGACAATAGTGCCATTGTACAAAACAATGTTTGTTGCGCTACGACTGTCGAAAGTCTATGGTAAGGTATGGGAGTTACGATCACCCTAGAGCTAAGATCACTCTGTACAACTGCACCCAGGTTACCCCACTGCCCCACATTCAGTAAGGACTAGTGGAAAGTCTATGGTAAGGTATGGGAGTTACGATCACCTTAGAGCTAAGATCACTCTGTACAACTGCACCCAGCTTTTGCCACTGCCCCACATTCAGTAAGGACTAGTGGAAAGTCTATGGTAAAGTATGGGAGTTACGATCACCTTAGAGCTAAGATCGCTCTGTACAACTCATCCCAGGTTACGCCACTGCCCCACATTCAGTAAGGACTAGTGGAAAATGGTGGGTGAATGTGATTGATTTAGGACTTCACACCATTAAAAACGGAAGCATTTCAGTCATGACACAGCCTGCCTGCTGAATGAAAACAGCTGTTGATAACCATGGTGGAACCGACAGACAGGTGTGCTGCTGCCACAAAGGTCATCATCATCAGGATTATTATCGAGCAGTATGAGTGATGAGGGCTCACTTGTTAGGTGCTTTGGAAGTTTCCGTTCAACGATGCGATGCACGATACATTTTTTTTTTCTATCTATACAAGACGATACACTTGCAAAAATAAATTATTCACCAATGCCACCAACCCTCACCCCCCACATTTGGTCATTCAAATATCGCATAATGTATGGTACGAGTAGTGTTTCAAGTTCACTGCTAAAAATAGCTGCTACAAGCATGTGTCTCTGTATCCTGCTCTGAAATATTCATAGTCAAGAAGTTTCCACACGGTTTTATGTGAATATGCATATCACGATATCTCACTATTGTGACCTATGTATCATATCCTAAGCTTGTATTGTTTCACCCCTATCACTCGCACAGAGTAATTACAGTGCATCTTCCCAAGGTAAGGCAGTTTACTGACTATAAAAGTCCCGTTTTCACCCTTGCCAAACTAGGCTGGAATTATGGAGTTCTATTTTGGCTTGACTAACGAGTCTATGCATAATCCAATCAAAATCATGAAACGAAATCGACATTGGTTGACTGCAGTATTTGCAAAGCATGTGTACCGTCAACTTAACATCAACAAATATTTTCCAAATCTTTTCATGTTATATATCGAGGTGCTGAATGAGTGAGTGGGGTACTGTTTAACGCTGCATCAGCATAAGGTTGAAGAAGTTTTGTTTGTTTGTTGTTTAATGCCACACTCAGCAATATTCCAGCTATATGAAGTGTGAATGGGTAAGTGATGGTGAGTATGAGTCAGTGAAAATGAGTGAGCATGGGAGTTCAAATACCAATATTTCCTAATTCCTCGCCTATTTTTAAATTGCCCTGCTAAATTAGAGAAAAGAAGGAAACTTTAATTTTAATAACAAAACTTCATGAACTGAAGCAACAGCTAATGGGTGATGTGCAGAATAGATAAATGACTAGTCAGGTACTTCTGCAGTTGACAAACACACGATGCATCTTCTAATTTTCAAAGTTAATAGCCCCGATCTTCCTACTTGCTTGAGGGCAACTAAATAATATTTTCCCACTTGGCTGAGGGCAACAACATAATATTTAACACTTGCCCGAGGGGACGTCAGACACACAAATTGAACAATTCAATGCCTACATCCCAATTTTCCTACAGAAATTACTGCAGGCACATTGGGACCTCAGTTTCATCCCTATCTATGTAAATGGACTGAACCACTATTGTTTGACTTATTTTTGCTAAGAGATAAGCCTCAGGATAAAAGTTTAAATTTAGTTTGTCAATATCTGTTGCCCGGTCAAGTCAGGCTTGTACCATGTTGTACTGTTGCAGATTCCTATATAAACTGTTAGAAAATAAAAGAAACTGAGTAGAGAAACTAAATACTTACTACTGAATAAACAACTACAAAATCATATAGAACCAATCACATCAATTAATTATTTTTAAGATCAATGCAGTTTATATTTTAATCCATTGTTGTTCACACAAGCCAGATCTTAAGCTGAGTAGAGATATTAATACATATAAAAACTTTATTTTCTTTTAGAGATCAATGCAAATTAACTTTAGACTGAGTAAAATGTGCCACTGTATATCACTTAATTTAGTTAAGCCCCACCATTTTGAAAAGTACACAACCGTCCATCAGTGGAGTCAGAAGCGCAGCTCCGCCTCCTCAGCAGACTGAGACAACATGTGCAAGCAGATGCTAGACCCATCCAGCAGCTGTATGAAGATGCACATAAAAATCTAGGTTGCTTTGAGAGTTAATACCGTATTTTCTTGAGTATAGTGCGCACCCATGTATAATGCGCACCCCCCTCTGGCGGGTTCAATATTTTGGAAAAAAATTACACCGTACCCTTTCAGCGAAGTCTGGTAAACGAATGGGTGATGAGAAACTTTGTCAGTACAAATTCGAAATTTGAGATAAAAAATCACCAGACATGTTTATTTACCGTTTAAATAGTATTTATTGTTCTGCTAGGCATTGTTTTATATCCAGGGATTAAGATTACCTTGTGTATTTTCTCGTAAACTAAGCCGGAAACAGCAATCAGCTGTACACACGTTTTCTTGGAATCGACCGGTGATTCGGTCAAGACACACCCAATGATATAACTTTATTATCAAACACGCTTATAACAAACTGAAGGATATTACAAACTTAATTTTATTTTTAGTCCCTGCCATTTGCTGTATAGATGTTGTATATATCTGATATATGTTTATAACAAACTACTGTTATAAAAAACTAAAATTAGTTCGTTTGAGTTCATTATAACTGTAGTTTACTGGATATCAAAATAGAATGTAGGTTAATTAAGGATGTTTCAGACCAAGTGATGTGACCCGCCCACGCCCTTCCAACATTTTACAAATGACCGTCTCAGATAAAATCTGCGATTCTGCGATCGCGGAATGATTTGCAGAAAATGTTGCTTATCACAGAATTGCAGAATAATCGCTGAATTTTCCCTTTTTATCAATCAATACACTAATTTGAATTGTTTTCAAGCTTTTCTATAAACTTTTGCACTTGAATGATGCCCAAATATTTAAAATGAAGTTGAAACATATAAAATATGAATACTACAGTAAAATTCTTCTCACTCTTAAAAGTTCTTGTGGTATTTTGACTACATAAACTATGTTTACATCTAACCATAAATAAATAGCAGTGACACTATGCATATGAGTTTGTATTAGGTTTGGTAGTTTTTAAAGCAGAATTAACCTCAGAATTGCGGATTTTTATCTGCAGCATTATGGTAATTTTGTTGCAGAAGTTAGACAACTTTACTGCAGAATTCGCCTGGGACTGAAGTGACTCCAAAGTGCCCGTCCTCATATCGAAGCCACTGCACTTCAGTATTTCATGTTCATAAACTTTGTCATGCCTTGTTGATCTTTTTCAATGTATAAGGAACAAAATCACATCTAAAATAAAAATCGCAAAGAACATATTTAGATGTGAAACCACATCCTGCCGCCGGAATAATACAGTTAATAATGTAATTCAGTCATGTAAAACATGAAAAATATGAATAAATTGTTACTGAAGCATCTGTTGGAAAAACTCAGACAATATCATGACTCAACTGCAACCACACACATGATGTTACGCACCAGTGACGTAGATGATAGGCATCACTAATTAATTGCCATACTCATTAAGTGTATGTAAAATGTACTTGTTGTCAGTCTGGGAACCCCATGTTCATCATCATACCATCATGCCTACACCTACATCTTGGTGAGAAGCAGGACACAAAACTGTAATACGTCTACTTGAAATCTGGGTGAACTCATCAGCCAATCAGTGTTGAGCCGTCAAACCTCGTGGTACAAGTGAGTGAAGCAATCAGACAAGCTTTCTGTATCTTGTAAGCGATTATAATCAGGGAGTTCTGAATAAAGCTAACAGCTGTGGATATTTTATACATCCTGTCGTTTCTAAAGCCACGACATCTACATCAATCAGGGTGTACTATTGAGGATATGTCAGTGTTTCAGTGGTTTGCTGTTGCTAAGATAGAAATTTCTGATTTCAGGTGGTAATGAAAGTACACTAAAACACCTTAGAAAGCTGACACCTGATTGGCTCAAGAACCAATGCACCTTTCACTTAGATTGGATGGTCAAAGTTTGCTCAGGGTTAACCTGATGCAACCCTCTATGGAGGGGTCAGATCTTCATGCAAAGGTGTCGTCGCGGGATAAAAAATCTGATATTATTGTGATTGCTGAGATGACAGAGAAGTAACTTACTTGTAGCATAGGCGGATCTTTGACTCGAATGACAAGTGCCCCTTCTCCCTTTAGGAGGTCTGTAACTTCTGCCTTTGACCTTGTGAGGCCATCTTCATCAACACTGGATGAATTGCCATATCCTTTTTTTGACTTGCGTTTTTCCAGTATTTGGTACTTGCAGTCAATGATCAACAACATAGCCTTGACACTGAAAACAACATTGATATGAACATGAGGAATAAGGGAGTGTTTAAGCTGAAAGGCGTTCTAGCATTTCAGTTATATCACAATGTGTCAAAGTTAGTATATAACAGATGAACCTGACCCAAATCAATTGTCTGTGATCAGCTGATGATTATGTTTAAAATAAAGGATCAAAGTTTGATCAAACAAGGACTTAACACAAAATGTCCATGGCAGGCAAATTGGAAAAAAATGTGTTATCCTTATTACTCGAATCTTTGCACTGAATTTCATGCAATAATCATGATAACATAAAACTAAATATTAAAGCCTTTTTATCGTTAGTGTGCCAGTTACCATGGTTGCCTTGCAAGACTTTCTTATAGCATAAATAATGGCTACCGCCATTCCCACAAGATGAGAACACCCGAACTTGTTACCATGGTTACCTGTCACATAAATCAAGTCATAACTAGACTAAGCCAAAACAAAAAAATGGGTCCACAAGCCAGAACACTTAGCATGCTTAGCATCATTGTTTATACATTTCAGTGTGACCATATGGCGTTTTATTAGCTGATCTTACTAGACCAAACAGAATCTCACTTGACTCTGGCTTCGGACTAGTGGTTATTATACAAATGTTATAGTTGAAGAGCTAATCAGTTAATCTATTTATCATAGTAATGAACCTATCATCTAGTGGGTGGTTCTATCATTAATAATTTAACCAGTATCTATAATACAAAGTCATAAGTGTCACATGGTAAGATGTAGAGCCTTTGCATATTGTATTGGCCAATGTCGGGGTTGAGGTGACATGGGGTTTAATGTCGCGTCAAAGATTACTCCACTTACATAGCGATGTGCATGCATGTGTGTGTCGGCTTTTACTAGTTTGGACTGATGCCGATTTATAGTGCTGGCCCACTGAGATACCACACCGCAGTTTTAACATGAATACCCCACTCAGACACAATATACTGACTCCAACGTCCAAGCCGACCAGTCCCTGTTTTAGTCCCTTAATGCCGAGAGCCAGACAGGGTAACAACAAGTACCATCTTCTAACATCTTTTGGTATGAAGATGTGGCTGGGGATTGAAACCTGGACCTTCCGCGCTTCAGGCTGATGCCCTACCACTAGACCACGGAGGTGGTGCCATTGTCGGGGGTATTTTCTAATTTCATTACTGTTTCGCTATACACAAATAGGAAAACCAGGATGGAAAGTTACCTGATAACTCCAACAAAGCTCATGATGATGGCACCTTCAATGATTCCTGCCTGTAAACAAACAACATCAGTTAATGGTAAATTACAAAAATGATAAGAAAACTATATATCAAGAATGGTTCCCCAAAGTTTGAGGTTCCATTAGCAAAGCAGACATTTCAAACACGTCAAACAGTGTGTTTGTTCTAACCTGGGAATAGAGTCATGTCCTGTTAATCTGACATGGTTGGTTGCATATGATTATGTCGGATTAATGAGTATGCCGGATAAATGAAATTAAGTGGTATCAACGCCACACAACCTGTAATGGGATTTCCTCAGCGGTAGCGAGAACTTGTACCTGGTTTTAATGAGATTGAGGTAATCTGACCATGGTATTAATCCTGTTTTATTTATTTAAAGCATTAATTGTTTATTGTTAAGCAAATTTATCTCTGCAGCCGTTGTAATATGTAGCTACCAGCTGACTCGTATCGCATTGAAACATGGGCTGTGTACTCGCGGGCAGATGACCACAGAGTACGCTGATCAATGTGTTGTATTAACGAGACTGATTAACGGGTGATTTCGATAATATGTTGCAAATTAAGTGTGTCAGAGTGCAAGACTGTCGGATTAACAGTCTAAATAACACTGATTTATTCGGTTCCCATCATTAGTGTCAGATAAACGGGACTTGAATGTATATTATAGTTTGACTGGCACCTTTTCTGGGTTAGTTTCTATCCCTGATAACAATGTGTCCAAATCATTAACATATATTTAAACATTGCAATACAGGTATCTGTTATAAATGTTAAAATGTCTGACACTGACTGTACATCTTGCATATTCTATTTTCTAATCTATTTTGAAACCCTGTTAAAATAGACGGTTGCTTTCTATGTGAAATTTTCTGGATTAACAAAACATAAATTAAGGAATCGTTGGTACAGTTATTGCTAATATTGCTGTTAACATCAGGTTATAGCTAAAATGGCACCTCAGCAAAACGACACCGATTGGCAACGACGTCGCCTTGCCTAATGCCCAAACGGCCACTATTGCCTGACGAAAACAGCACCTTATTATTTTTTTAACCTTGGTACTGAAATACATTAAACTCACATGCATATGGTCACAACCAAACAAAAGAAATTGTGAAATGTTAAGAAAAGCTTACATTAGACTCTGATTTGGAGGCGCAACTAAACTTACTGTGAAGACATCACATGCTTTGAAGTAAAATAAATGAAATTAAACTAAACTGTTTGAAGTAAAAAAATGAAATTAAACTAAACTGTTTGAAGTAAAATAAATGAAATTAAACTAAACTGTTAAATTAAATTATGTCCAATTTACTCACCGACTCTGATTGGGAGGCCTTTACTCAAATTAACTCAATGTCAAGCTGAAACTGAGTCTGGCAGAAATGTCAAGAAATAGGACTACAGGTATACTATATATTCAATATTTATTTAGTAAGTAGGAAATAAATAGTAATTTTATAAATATTTCATATAAATCTATATCTCCCCTTTCTGCCGACAGCCAAGAATGTTTCTTTGGATAACAGACCCTGTCCCAGCCCAAGAAAAACATATATACTACAACATGACATAAAAAAAGCATGTAAATAAAGCATATATACTGCATAAATTGTTCTTATCGTTATTAAAAATAGGCGTCATTTTCGTCTGAGAAAATCGGTGATGATTTGCTGAGGTGCAGTTTTAGCCTGCACACGTTAACATCTAACAGGGTCACTGAATAACAAGGTGTCACTGTATAGAATCTTCAGTAAAATGAATCTGTTGGAATGTCAAAATCATCACGACATTGACAAATGACAGTTATCATGGTTATCACATTATAGGACATGATCATTTAGGAGAGATATGTACTTTGCCAGTCCCTATCGATGATAATTATACTAGATGCAATCAGTGGTAGGCTAACATATACTGGGAAAGAACCTCCTTAATACCAAGTTTACAACTCATATACACACTGCCAATACAAATAACTGACGAAATGTAAAAGAGCATATAATTCATCAATGCACATAGACATATGGACCAGTAATGTACAATCTATTCAGTTTTATCATGTTTATGGATGTACAGTATTTTTCAACCACACATTTTACTTAATCCGAGAGATTTCTTTCTAGATCTAGCTGCTTACGTTTATATTAAAAGACAGTTGAACACAAATTTCTCGCCCAAATTGTAAACACGACAGGAATATGAAAATTCTTACAACAAAACAACTTTATATTGAGGCATTGACACTTCCTATCATATGTCTCTTATACATACGTGACAGACTATTCGGTGATCAAATGTTTACCTCTTTGAAAGCAAATGGGAGCCCTAGAACTCCTGCTCCAATGAAAGATATGAATATGCTGGCGAAGATCTTGAGAGGGTGGGTGGAGCCCCCTTGTTGATTTCCTCCCCCCACAGACATTTTGTTGACTTCAGTTGTTTTAACAGAAGTTTACGTTCGTCAACTTGTCATGGGCTTCATGCCTGTCAATCGGAAACGTGGAAGGGTTACGCCATCTGGTGACGGGTCACAGGGGCAGATAACTCTAAATACACCTGTCAACTACCTGTGATGACATTATAGAGCATGGATAGACTATAATTAAATCTTACATCGCAGATAAAGAGCAAGAAGTGCCATATGCGGTGATGGATAGGAGATAATGCGAAAATTATTATTTCCAAGCATAAATCTACTTTTGTCGCGTCATGTGGTTATTTTATTTTGTTTCATTTTAGAAGAGATTTTATAAAAAAGAAACGTCAATACAGGGTTTGGAAAAGAGAGAGATGGGTGTGGGTTGGTAGCTTTTGGGAGGGATTGCAGGGGTGGATGGGTGGAGGGGAGGGTGCACATGAAATAATTAAAAAGGAAATAATTATAAGGTGTGTGTGTGGGGGGGGGGGGGGGGGGGGGGGCGGCGAATATCCCTTCTAGATCAGCGTATGTTTAATAAGCTACTTATATAAATTTGGGGTACGTGTCCAAATCGTCTAATGCGCCGCAATTCGACGTGAAGAGTTGTGTCCTTTGGGCACGCCTGAAACCCAGCTATATGATCTTGGGTTCGCTGCCCGATTCTTTACGATTATGTTTCTAAGCTAACAGCACCATACCCGTGCTCGTGGGATTCACTAAAGAGTTAAGGCTCACACCAGCATAACTTCTGGCTTTCTTCTCGCATCAAGCTGACACGCCGTGTTATAACTTACAGTTTACTGTTCACAGCGGCGCGCGTTATTAAGTCCAACTCACTCACTTATATAATAATTGCTAGCAAGGGGCGTCGGCATGATAACGTCAAAATAAATTGATAAAACTACAAGTGGCATGTGAAAACTAAACAGGTCAGTTTTAAAACAGATTGGCAAACTTGCAAAATCGATGTAATTGCATCTGGACTGAGCCCCTGTCTTAATCCTTCGACTCAGCTAAGCGGCTTTGAGTATAGCATGCACAATAGAGGCGAGGGACCAGTCAAAATTGCATCACCTGAATTTTGGAAGGGGTTATGGCGAAGACCACTCAAGCTAAAACAACAGTTACACATGTATGACAACCCAGCTAATATAAATTTCCAACGAAATTCGAGACTTTTGGCACGGGTTCGTTTTAGCCCTAGCACCCGTTGAAAGATGTCCGCGATTGTCTAACACAGAAACAAATGTACATGAAATAGTTTTAAAGACACATTAAGCCGATGTGCCCAAGAAATGATAATTCCAACCTTGAATAAGGAAGGTTTACGTGTTATAACATGGGAGGTGGTACGTTAGAAAACTTGAAAATTTTATGACAATCCAGTTTGTATCAAACTATTGACAAGAAGTTAGAAACCGTTTGATGTGGGCAATTTATTCACAGGCGTTTTATGATTCATGAAATTGTGTCGGAAAAATAAATCATTAAATGATAATTCTCAGCGTTCCACAAGCAATATCAGTGTTTTCTGTTTGTCAACAACATTGAAATCTACTTCTTGTTAATCGGTAATAACGTTTCCCTTTTCTTAAAGATTTGTTTGTTTGTTTGTTGTTTAACGCCGGGATACGATGACATGCATCAGCCAAGTCAGCGACCTGACCACCCGATTCCGTTAGTCGCCTCTTACGACCAGCATCGTCGCCTTTTACAGCAAGCATGGGTTGCTGAAGACTTATCCTACCCCGGAACTTCACGGGTCCTTTTCTGAAAGAAACACACTCAAAATGTGTGAAGTGCTGAAGGCCAGGGTTCCATTTCCCACCAGGGTGAAACTCATGTCTGTAGTTCCCCGTCGTGATATTGCTACAATCAGGCTGAAACCACCCTCTCACTCACTCACTCACTGTAAACGTCGGAAACCACAACCCTCTCCCTCAGCATGTCACGTGATCTGTTGTGATGATGGGGATGAAATTGTAATTATTAGTTTTTGGCAAAGCTTATGTTGTTATATTGATCCGTGGTTCGATCACCAATAACCGATTCAGTAAACTAAATACGCCTGCGTACCATATTGCCTGTCTTAATGGACACTGAACACAACCAAACCTTGTTCACCCTCGATCATCCGGTTTATGATATCACTGGTTAATCGAGGGTGGGCCTTGTGACGCTCATGTTCATTGCATCGAGGTGTCAGTTTTCCAATTGTAAGGAATACAAACGTCCTTGTAATGCCACCATCATTTGGCACAAATGATCGAAATTAACCACAAGACGATTGCATTTCAAAGATATTTTAGTTAAACCCAACCAATACAAAAATAGAATCTTTGCAAAATGTGTCTCCGACAGCTCTCTACCGTCACGTTCTCCCTATCATGTCAATGTCTACCGAGTGCATTGTTTGTTTGTTTGTTTGTTGTTTAACGCCGAACTCAGCAATATTTTAGCTGTATGGCGGCGGTCTGTAAATAATCGAGCCTGGACCAGTCAATCAAGTGATTGACATCATGAGCATCGATCCACGTATTTTTGATACGATGACATGCATCAACCACGTCAGTGAGCCTGACCACCCAATCCCGTTAGGTCGCCTCTGACGACAAGCATAGTCGCCTTTTACGGCGAGCATGGTTTGCTGAAGATCTATTCTACCGCGGATCTTCACGGGTCACCGAGTTCATTGCCACTCAAGAATACTTTCCGTGAAAATCTCTGTGAACAGTATCACCTGTTGACATGTGCTTAAATTACTGGCAAATTGAGATCTCCTCTTTGTGACATTATATTTGTACAAAATTTGTGTTATCAAGGCAACGTGCAATAAATATAGATCTGTATTTTGTGAAAAACGTTCGAGACAGAATGAAATATTGATACAATTTTGATATCACAATCGAAATTTTATTGACACATACTGTAGATATATATGATTTTATATTATTGTATAATTATGTTATAATTGGTCCTGTATCGAATTTTACGACCTCGACATCAAGTAATACCTCCACAGTTCCCCAATCAAACCCAGCTTCCACGTGTACAATGCGTCACTGCGTTTTAAACAAACACACCTCCGGCTGTCTGCCAGAAATAATAATGATGCATAATTGATTTTGTATTTTGATTCATATTCATACATCTCTAGCCATAAAATCCCATATTTTCTATCGTATGTTAACTATTAAATAGTGCGATAATTTTATTGTGTTTTCATCATAAAATGTATGTTGGAATGTTTGCATTGCGGCAGCTGGCGAGTTTATACCTTTTACGTGCGCTTCATGTAATTCAATAACCCTGAATGTACACAGAGGTGGCGTGGAAGTAGTGGTGGCATACATATACCGCAGATACGGTATGCAACATAACACTTGAAGATGGGTTTCATTTTCTGTTAGTTTGTCCAAAATACGAACACCTTAGAATAAAATATATTGATCTGCCTTGTTATGCACATCCCACTCTACAAAAATTTACAACGATCATGTCAACAACTGATAAAGATACTCTAAAAAATCTATCAATGTTCATTTATCATGCTATGTTAAATTAGAATATGACCTGTTAAACGGATCTGTAACCACTCCCGAAAACAGGATTGTACTATGGGCCTGAGGCCTTTCAGTATGGAATAAAACTTATCCTATCCTATCCTATCCTACCCTATCCTATCCTATCCTATCCTATCCTATCCTATCCTATCCTATCCTATCCTATCCTATCCTATCCTAACATAACACTTACTTCACATAACATATTACAGCTATTCGCATCTTGCCTGTCTAAAGGTTTCACTGAAGTCATTTCTACATTGAAAATACCCAAGGCCGAGGGAGGCGTACATATAGATAATGAACAATCTATGAGCTTGCTAGGGTTGGCATCAATGGCAATACACTGAGATTATGACCCGAATGTGTTTCCGTATCGTAAGTATCAGGTATAAAAAAAATATATTATGGGAGTCTTTTATTCAAGATGTATGATATGCGGAAACACACGAGGGTAATAATATTTGTTATGATATGTCATTCGCAAATTAATCGATGTAAAAGACGTAATTTCACTAGAAAGTAGACACTTTATGGATAACAACTTCTTTATTTTACTGTATTAGACGATTCGCTATAGATCCTTATACGGTTTTCAAGCAAGTCATTTCACTCGCCGAAGTATTTTTTGTAAAGAGCGTATGAATACAATGCTTGAGTGAATCGCCCCAGTCATGTTGTGCAACAGTTTATTGAGCATGTAGATAGTGCATCGAAAAAAGTAGTTCCTGCTTGGGTACCTCATTTGTATATTTATCGGATCGTGATATCAAGTTTACCGAAGTGGTTTATCGCTTCAATAACACTATCCATATATAATTACTTAATAATCTGATACATGTGTTATGGGAAGTAGATGTTCGCCATATTCATCATTTGTGTTATCCAGTACAAAATGTAGTTGCACACCGTTTTGTGGCATCGCACACCAGTACGCAAAGCCACTGGACAAATTACCTGAAATTATTTCTTTTCTGAAATTAGTGTTTGATGTTGCCATGAAGCTTTTTCAGCTTTGTTTATTTGTATATTACAGTTTCACATTTAATGTTCCCCGACAACCCAAAACAAACCATCATCCCTATCAGATTAAAGTTTAGTCGTAGATACATTCCCGCTGCTTATAATAAGTAGGTTATATTTTATATGTGTTTGAATGTATACTTGCGTAGCTCTTTTAGAGTTTTCTGACACTGTTTAGTTCTATGTCAAAGACTTCAAAGAGACGCCTAACTATATATATTTCTATAGATGTTGGTATAAAATTTATCTCTCGACTCAACCCTCGGGCAGAATAGATGAAATACCCTGTAAGATGTACCCTGTAAGATGTACCCGGAGGCACACTTTCTCAATGGGGTATAAGGTGTGCTGTGTTGTTATTCCATGGGTGGGCGTGGCACTCGATCGGGGTGTAGGTTTATAGCAGGATCTTTCGAATGTTGATCAATGAGAGTAGAAACAGTTCCTTTATGTTTGACTCTCCTGGACTTTGTATAATGAATGATAGGTGTACTGGTTTCAATT